GAGGAGAACAAACAGCAATTCCTCTTCAAAATTATCTGCACCTTTGTAGCGAACATATACCATTAGCTGTGAATTGCTACTAAAATCATTTGTCTCATCAAGCTGAATAGCAAAATATTTAGCCTGTTTTAATGCGAAAATAACCTGTTCCTTCACATTTTCTGCTAATATAGAAATTCATTCTTTCACAATTCTCGCAGACAAGGGCACTGAATTCAGTTTCTTCGCTTCTTTTTGACCACGCATAATCTCTGCCATTTTTACAGCAGCTGGTTTAACCAAATCTTCATCAATAGTGTATGGTTTCTTATTTCGAGCAATCAACCAGGCTACTTCAAAGCTAGCCCTTGATGCTGAACGCTGATGAAATGTACCAAACAAGTTGCTATTCAATCTTTGTCTTTTAACAGGTATTTCTAAATTTGCAAAGTATTCTCGCGGTTTGGAAGACAGGTGTGAATGCAAATTATCTAAATGTTTCTTCAATTGACTTTTTTTGAAAGATTCTGAAGTCAGTACCTTCATACATACAACACACTGTGGTTTCATTGTACCATTGTCTTCTATTTGTGTAAAACCGTAATTAAGGAATTCGTCTTGGTATGTTCTTTTTCTATTTGCTGCCATCTGAAAAAAGACAGAAAATAATAGTTGTAATATACTTGAATTAAATTTTCAAATTGCGGCTTACCTTGATCGATATATCGATGATTAATGATAAAATGGTGGTCTTGTCAGCAACTAACTAGTAAAAACTCGCTCTCTGACTCGTCAATGTATTTGTATGTTGACGGCATGGCACGGGCTGAGCAGGTAGCCGGGGCTGTGCTTTACTGCGCAAAGATATAACTCGAGAACACTCTAGTGGTGGGGAGTGAGATGGCGTGGCCTGCATATGTCGCTAAATTGTTTAAGTTGAAAAAAATTCTAACAGGTTTATAAATTGAAAATTAAAAATATATACTTTTTACTCACAAAAATTTCATTTTTACCCTGGTTCCCCGACCGCTGCAGTAATGGAACGATGTAAAAAATCCATCAACTCCTTTAAATTATTATTAATGCTCAAGATTTGATTTTTGCTGAATTCCAAAATGAGGTCACTGGTATTATTTCAAAATTACAGTGCAAATTAGAAGAATTTGGGTTTGAAGAATGAATTTCGAATGAATTTGGGTTTGTCGCTGAATGAATTTGGGTTTGGCACATGAGAAGAATTTGTGTTTGGTGCTTAAAATACTGATTTCTCATTTCTTGTAAATTAGAAATGTTCTTAAATGGTGTTGTTTCAAAAGTTTAGACATATGGGCATTGATTAACATGTCCTTCTGGCCAAAGGTATCTTGGATTAATTTAAGAGCCAACTTATAGTTTTCTGAGGTAGTAGCGAAACCTTTTATACAAGAAGGAGCTTCTCCAAGGCAACTAAACAAATAAGAAAATTTTTCAACATCTAAAAAGAAAGAATTTTTGTCAATAGAATTTTCGAATTGATGCCAGAAATTTAAATACTCAGATAGGTCCCCGTAATACATATTAACTTTCAGTTTAGGTAACTTTGCGTTAGTATTTGATTTACTTTGGCTTGTTAAGAGTTGCACACATGCGGGTTCTTGTAGAAATGAGGATTGCAACAATTTTATTTTATTTTTTAGTTTTACCCAGTTAAATATAATTACTTCATTGCATTCATCAATTCTTTCTATTTCTAATTGCATTTCTACATCTTCTAAAAGATCTTCGATTTTATTGCCAATAGATTTGAGCTGTTCATCTTTGATTTGTAACTGAACTAAAAGGCTTTCTAAATCATGTATTTCTATATGTGGTTCAGTCTTACTCCTATTTTTGATATTAGTTTCGTAACTTGTCCTCTATGGCAGGTACATTGCTTAAGTCTATCTAACTCTTTAGCCATTAATAATAACAATGCTACAACAAAACAATTCTATAGTGCTGAATGAAAACGTAAACAAACTACTACAGTACAAAGTCCGAAATCTGGATGTCCATTATCTGGAACAATCTAAAATCTGGACCTCAAAACCATCAACAACGTTTTCTCGTAGGCTTTACGCATGCACATTTGATTCCCTCCTCCACACTTAATAAAACATTTGGAGAGTCTCGATTCTTAATTTCACTTCGACACTAAATAAAATACCTTATTATTGAAGAAATAATTATTTTAGCATAAATTTGTATGATCAGTAATTTGGCTCCATTGCTGCATACATCTCAAACCCAAACATTCCACATAGATACATCGTTGATTTGACACCAGCGCAGCAAATCATTATTTATTATACTTTCCTTTCATCACCACATGTTTATCAAAAAATAACAAATTGAGTAATGACTCATGTAGCGATGCCTAAACAATTTTTTTTTTTTTATGCTAGTAATTGAATAATAAAGGAGTATGGTAACCTTTTATGTTGATATTACGCCTGGCGATGATTACAAATTTAAGTTAAATGCGCTAAAAAGTGTTGACAAGGAAAAATTTATCAAAACTTTCTTTCCATATGCTAAAAATAGATTTTGTTGATGATAGTCATAGACCCAAAGATTACATTTAGGGCTATTTGAATTAAGAATAACTGATTTGTTATTCGCATAAACCCAGAAAAAGTGGCAGAGCTTGTGTGGCTGCATCGAGTCAGAGAATTTATTACCCACAGAGACTGCATCAGGCGGTAAGATATCTAGTGCCGACTCTCAATAAGGCTTAAGTATATGGTGGGAATTTATTTATTCAGAACTCTGATAAGCCTTAAGCATGTGCAAGAAATAGATATAAATATAATAAATAACTAAACTAATACAATTCAGGCTTAATTGTCTCAGTGCGTGATAGAAGCAAGATAAAATTTAACGGAACAACTTGTTAGTCGCCAAGCTCATGATGCATAGCCAAATATGTATAGTGAAGGATAGTTAAATTTAATGATGATAACTGCTAATTTGAAAGGTTTTCATATATCGCAAAACAAAGGTGAAATTTTCCAATTAATGGATTTTGTAAAAAAATGTGGAGAAGCGGTAATAACTGAAGATTATATAAAAGAAGTTTTTCGTTGTGATGACAATGCTTCTCAATCATCAATCAATTAATGAATGGCGAAATCTGTAGTATGGTTCTAGATCCAGAAAAAGCCACTACCGATAGTTAAGAAAGTGACAGAGAAGTTACTGAAATGAGAAAATTTCGATTGACAAGTTAGTCGGAATTCTCGAAATAGCAGTTACAGGACTTCAACAATGTAACTAAACAAGAGATTATATTTGTCTCTAGAATTAAAGAGAAAGTATTAGCACAAAAAACGAAGCAACTTGCATTGAAAGAAATGTTTAATAAAGTAAACAAATAAATATTAAGCTTTTTTTTTTTTTTTTTTTTTTTTTTTTTTTAAATTTTGATACTCTATAGATCATATCACTTCACTATTTCATAAATCAAAATTTCATATTTTTAATTTTATAATTTCTACATGCCATCTTACTAGATTTAAACTGATGATTTATTATCTGGAAAAATCCCAAATCCAGAATCGCCGAAGTCCGGACTTTGTACTATATTACACAATGCAATTTCACTTAACTTCTTCAAAATTCAAACAAACTATTATAAAAAAATTCTCTAAACTAAATATTATTACCTACTCTACCTTCCAGTGTTCCAACAATTTGCGAAAAACGGATATCAGTTTTACTCCAGGTGGTTCGTACAATTTCCCAAAGTGATGCACCAAAATGTAAAAAAAATGTGTTTGAATAAGCAATTAAAACACAACTTTAAACCTTTAAAATAGCAATTTTCATTTGTTTTTAACAATAACAATGGTAAAGAAAAACTGTTAACCGCTTTGCGACTGCGCAGATAATCTCGCAGACGAGTGTCACAGATGATGTGTTAGCGCATCGCAATACAAATACAAAAGATTTAAACCATCAACCCGTATGGCAACTTAGGTATGTGTATAGACATATCTAATTTGAGTGAAGCATACTTCCAAAGTTTTAAGATGCCAAGTTTGTGCATATTTGTGCTCCAAAGTCTAAGTTTGTGTGCATTTGTCCATTTTTTTGCTCCAATATTTTTTCAATGAAAACAGATCACCATGTATGTGGGGAGAACAACAGCACAAAAAAGGATATTTTGAGAAAGGTAATTGTTTAATTACAAGCGTGTCTTGCTTTTCAAATTTTATTGATTGACTGCTGTTGTATGAATTCTTAGTGAAAATTATTGAAATTATGAACCTTATTGAAAATGTCTATTGTCTTTTGCAATAGACATTTTCAATAAGGCAGACAAAAAAATTAGATGGCAGCAAGTTCATGACTTTTCTATGGGGGTGTAGATAATTAGGAAATACAAAATTTTCTTGTTACTTAGGGTTGAATATTACGTTTTTCATATATGTTGTATTAAATTACATTGTCAACTAGATGGGGAACTTGGATACTTCTTTCCAGATTTGTATCCAAGTTCATAATTTTTGTTTTAAAGTCTTCAAAACTGCATTTACAATTTGTGCAATTACTATGTAATTTTAACCTTTATAAGAATATGTATTAAGTGAAATCCATCTCATGTCAATTAAAAATAGTCTTTATTCAAGTGCATATCTTGTTATATTGTCTGCGACTCATTTGACAAAAGCAGTACTTGCAGAAATGAAACAATTTGTGCAATTATTCTGTATTTGTAACCTTTATAAGAATATGTATTAAGTAAAATCTATCTCATGTCAACTAAAAATAAACTTTGACCAATAAACTGTGTTAGTATGAGAATGGGCCAGTTGAAATCATGTTAAGTTACTATTTGCAATTTCTCAAAAGGTTCAACTTTGAGTTTACTCAAATATCATTCTTCTAGTTCTTTTTATTTTTATTTATTTATATATTTTTTTATTTCTGTTTATTTTGGATTTCTGTCACTCCGTATTTGTTGCTGACTATGAAAAAGTTCATTGTTTTAATTGTTGCAGGTAAAGCCAACTATGCATGCACTTTTGAATGGAGAGGGATGTGAATTTGAACCTTTGATATCTGTTCTGAAGAAAGAACCTGCTCTAAATGGAAATTGTTTAAGAGTTATTGAAGATATGGTATTATTTGCTGTTGAAGAAGGTGAATTATCTATTCAGCATTTGAAACTATGTATTTTGACCTGCTTTAAGTTTTTGGGTACTTTTCCGTTTTGCCGGCGCAAGCGATAATGCCAATAATGGTACAACCGATGCCAAACGGAATATTCTCGCTGGTAACCTTTTACGCCTCATTTTCAAAACAAGTCGCAGCTTTTTCTTATCAGATTGATTTTTTTTTTTTTTTTTTTTTTTTTTTCAATATTGGCATATAATTGCCCATAGAATTTTTATCAGATAGTTCAGCTTTTATGTCTTACGGCCATTTGCGGTCATTAAGTCAATATAAGGATGCAATCACACCGCTTACACTGAAGGGCCGAAAATATAGAAAAGGCAAAGTCAAGGGTTAAATTCATCAATTCTAATGAGAATGCACTTAGCGAAGTAAAGCACTGCAGGTTTTACATAATTTCTGAGTAAGCTATTAGTATGAATTGAAATATTTCTTGCATATTAAACTTGTGTTCCAAATTAAGATTTAACTTGAAATTAATGTAGATAATTACTGAGAGCAATTTAGAATTTTTGTAGAGTAGTTTACGTGAGATGAGATCGCTTGGGGTCACGTGATATGAACCAGGCGAATCAGGATGGTTGAACCATGAAAGCATAGTAAATTCTTAATGTTTTTTTACAAATTTATTGTCTTTATTTATTGGCTTTTTATAAAATTTTAAGCGATATTAAAATGTTTATGCCTTCAAAAAAAGAATTCTTAAAACTAACATTTTTTTAATATTTTTTATGTGTATACTGTATGTTGTCGCCAATAAAGTCTGCTTGGCGAGATTTGCGCCGGCGAAACGGAAAAGTACCAGTTTTTGATAGCAGTTCAAAATGACTAATAGAATCTGTTTTTGATAAATACTATTCTGAATTAGTGAAATTTAAAGGAGAGTTTTTTTAAATTAAAATAAGATGCAATTGGCATCTTATCTAAAATAAAAGAGAAATGTTATTTAAGCATTATTGTTTGTTTATTTATTGTATTATTTAAACACTGTTTAAAAGAAAATTGTGTTTTTGTATAATTAAAATTACTTTTTCATTGATGCATATTTTCTTTATTTGGCAAAATTCATAGGCATATTAACTGGTAAGTAAAAAAAAAAAATTATCATATTCCTTTTTAATTTTCTTTAGTGTTGTTAAAATATATATTTAGAAAAAAAAATAGTTTAGGTATGTTAGAAAGAAAGAAAAATTAAATTTTGATGTGTTTATATATATTTTTTTATTAGTGTAACCACCTTCACTCAATTTTCAGTGTTTTGTGCAGAAGAAACAAGATGTAATATAACTAGAAAAATTATTTATTACGCATACATTTTACACTTTCATTAGGTATTTACCCCAAAAATCTATCAATAAACCTACTTACAAGCAGGATTTTATTTGTTTTATTTGGATGGAAATTTCATGGTGTCTGTTTTAAAAATAGATTCAAAACTGTTGTTCTTATTAATGATTTTGTAAAAACTGTTATAAATTTCTGCAGAAATTTTACCCTACTTTCTTCAGTTGCTGGGTAATCCAGAAAGTGCATATTTTAAAAGAGTTCAAGACAAGCAATATCACTATTTATAAAAACTATTCAAATACAAAAATGATGAAATACTTTTGTTAAAACTGAAGAATTATTTTGCTCTTGGTTGCCAGAATTTGGTGCATTCTGAAAATCTGGTGACTTCCATATAAAAGTACATTTTCTGTACACAAGTACATCTGGCGACTTCCATACACAAGTACAACTTGAAACCAGAAGCCTAGTAATTGCTCCAAATTACATTTTACAATTTACACAAACTGCCAGATTTACATTCTGCAATTTGACAATGACAGCAAGCATTACTTTATTGTTTCATTTGTAGAGACATTAGGATTTTTTGGAAGCAGGAGACATGAAAAATGAGCAATGCCTTCTCCGGGAATCGAACCACAGACCTCTCGAATACGCATCGAGTATGCTGACCACTACACTACAAAGGCATGCTAAGAAGGCAGGAGAAATACCTTACATACTTCCTCTTTTAAAGGGCAACTGGGGATTAGGGGACCCAATCGTCAAATCCTGGTGGGGAGAGTCATCATCCACCACCCTTTTAGTTTGTGCGCCACTGTAGAGACATTAGGTATTTGTTTGAAGCAGGAGTAATGAAAAATGAGTAACACAGTCGCCGGGAATTAAACCACGGGCCTCTGGAATATGCGCCGTGGTGTGCTGATCACTACACAGCTTGTCAACAAAGAGTTAAGAATAGCCAGTGGAGTTTTGTCTGTGATTAAGCTGGAAATAAGTAAGCGACAAAAACAATTACACCACCATTATTCCTATCATTCAGAGAGCGACACAAGTTTTTAAATTTCCAGAAATTTGGATAATTAGATCAAAAGTTATAATTTTTATCGCCAATTTATTGGACCCACATGGGAAAACCTAAGAAAAATCCCTAATGTCGCTATTGAGTTGCATTCAAATTAACGTTTTCAGAGTTTTTAATTAATATCTCTGCTGATTGATCGTATGAAGATGAAAATAATATCGATGGATTCCAACGAATTTTTGGAATCGGGGAATATGTGTCTCAAAATTCAACTAACTGCCGTTACCATAGATATTTGTGAAAATATTAATTGGCCCGTAGCCAAATCCGTTTAATAGGGAGAAACCTAACAAAGTAAGTGAAAAATGTAGGAGAAAAGTAGTTTTTAATTAATATCTCGGCTAATTAAAGTCATTTTATAGCCTATAACCTTTTCTAATATATCAAAAATATTTCTTGAAAATTTCATGATGATCAGTTAAGTAATTAAGGCGTGAAAGCGTAACAAACAAACAAACTCACATTCACATTTATAATATTAGTAAGGATAACTTGAAACCAGCTGCACTATCTCTGTGCAATTTTTAGGCATTATTTATGTATATCTCTATATGTTTTGAACTCCCCCATTCACTAAAGATCTCTATAGCGAGCGTATGATGTATGTATATATTATTTATACATTATATATTGTTTTGTATGTGTATTTATATATTATTTCTCACTTCTAATCTTTGTGAGCTGGAAGAATTTTCTTGATGTAGTATCTTTAAAAAATATATCTTTGCCCACAACATATTTTAAAAGAGTATACTTAATTTTTATAGTATTTGAATTAGATGAGATGCAAATTATTTTTCTCAAGTCAGAAAAATGTAATAGTTTATTCAGACCTCTTTTTTTTTTTTTTTTTTTTTTTTAGGAAATAAGACAAGATTGATTAATGTTCAGTAATAAAATGTACAGGCATTCAATCCAAAAATTAATTATAAAACATGAACAATAAACATTCTGGAGTTACATGAGAAAATTGCAATGTGCCAAAAATCAATATGTAAACACTATTAAAAAACATTGCTATGGTGTAACAGGAGATAACAGAAATGCTTGTATCAGGGTGTGTTGTGTAAACAAATATAAAATAATTCAAATTTTACCAGAACTTAAATATTGCATTGTGAGTTACAATTAAAACCCATTCAGTAGTTTAAAAGGTCGAGTGTTCTAAAATTATTTAAAATTAAAACAAACAAGTGTGTAAAGAAGTAGCATCTAAAGTTTATTGTTAGAGACAAATTTTGTGGTACATAGTTACAATTTAAGGTAACGTGGTGGTTAGCACGGTAGTAACATAAATAATACATACCTTAAAAATTAATTAACATCACCACGCGCAGTGGGCCCAGCTCAGTAGATTTGCATTACTACACAATTTGTACCTTCACTCAACTCTAAAAATGAAAAATTAAAGAAAAATCAAATTAACAGCAAACTCATATCCAATACTGAAAAGGGTTATTAAGTGAGGTTAACAAACAAGCCGGTTTACACCGGGAGTGAAAATTAACATTCAATTTTATATTACACTGCCAATTATACACTTATCACTTTTACTGAAACAGGCAAAACCTGAAGTGGATGGTTACCACTGGAGGGGTAACCATCCACTTCATACGCTGGAAAGCACAGGTTCATACGCTGGAAAGAAGGAGCCATAAAGTAACATTTCTGAAAAAAGAATAAAAAAAAGATTTGGTTAGTTTTGGTTTTCGTAAATCACTGCAGTCGCTCACCAGAATTCTTCGGGAGGAACCATTTCAATTACACAAACTCCTGCCATGTCACGCGTAAAGATGGTAGTGGTCAGTAGTGAATTCTAATTCAGAAACAGCTGCTGCAGCTCTGCAGTGTATCTTGCCTCCATCGTCTTTATCTCCCACCCCAGCTTTTTTGGACGATGCAGCAATTCTTTTTCTTCATTGGCGATAACCTTGAACATAGAAATGAGTGAAGATGGAAAAGTCGTCCAATTACGGCAGCCCAAAAGGAGCAAAAAGGAGATTTGTCTGGGGAAAGTCTTCCCAGGCTACCAGAAGTTTGTGACATCCTCATTCTGTAGTGCTGCTCCTCAAGGCTATGGTGAGAGGTCAAAAAACCCTCTACTGACAGATGATGCGAAAAGCTGGCCTCACAGCGATGTCCCAAAGTAACATGGGTGGGAGCCTAACGGCTACCAAATTCCACCCACAGAAATAATCCCTAATGGAAAAACTCCATGTAAAACCTCTCGTCGTAAAGGGGTGCAGAATAACACTTGGCAAAGGAATTCGGGACGCAGTCTGTCCAAGATGAGGAAATTCTGAGAATCCAAATTCTAAGCCGACAAATTTGGTTGACAAATAACTAGTAATATAATTTTCATCACAGTTAAACAGTTTAGTTACTGAGGCTTAAGATCTAATATTTGACAAATTTTGTTCAATCAAATGCACACAATGTAAAAGATGTTTTTACAGTGGAAATAAGGATGAGTAATCATTTCCAAAGTTATGTTTCTTCAACACTTAATCGACCTTACCACCAGAGTGAAAAAATATGTATTCATGAAAACTTTAACAGAAAGAGGGGTAAACATTAAACATATTAAAAAATTAACACACCAAAATGTGTAGCAAACAAACTTTAAATTATTAAAGTTAAATAACCTTAAAGGTCAAAACTATTAGTACAAAAAACCAAAGTAAAATTTAAGTTCCTAAACAAAATTAAAAGTGAAACAACTTCATTTTAAGGATAAAAAGAAAACAAAAATTTTTAAAGCTTCCAAATTAAATTTAAAGTTTGCCAAATTTTACAGCTTACAAAACTTACAACCATTACTTTAACCAAAACTTAAAAAAAAAAAAAAATTAATAAACTTCAATTACTGACAGAACTGAATTAAGAAGCAAACGAAACTCAAAACTTGGAATTCAGAAACAATTAATACATAACACTTAATTACATAATTAGCACAATCACCTTATCATTATTCAGAAATTTTTTTTAAAGATGAAAAAGAATGGTCATATAAGCCATCATTCAGTTTAATTGCAAAATTTAACTTATTACATATATAATTATTAATAAATATACATTTTGCATTCTAATTTGGTATTTATCTCCAAACCAATCAATAAGCTAGTTTTTATTTATTGATATATTTTTTTGTTCCAATGGAAATTTTTGTTGATGGCTTTAATAACAGATTCAAAACAATTGTTCCCTTTAGTTATTTTGTAGCAAAATACTATATTCCTGCAGAAATTTTACCGTAGTTTCTTCCATTACTGGAAAATTCCATGAGCAGAAATTTTAAAATTGAGTTTAAGAAAAAAAATATCACGATTTGTCTATAAAAATTGTTGGAATACAACAAAAGGAATACACATAAAAATAGCAACATTGCTAAATTGAAGAATTGTTGTGAATATGGTTGCCTGAAAAATTGTTATGCTCATTGTTACCAGTTTGGCACATTCTGAAAATTCCGCAAATCCTTTTAAGGTGGTTGTGCTAAGTAAGTGCCTAAATTTGAATGTACTTGAAAGTGAATTGAAAAAGTACTCTTTCCTTACACTGTCTAACAAAAATTATATACAGTCAAAAGTCGTTAATCCGGGCTCGTCGGGACTTCGGCGATTCCGGATTATAGATCATCAGTTTAAATCTCGTAAGATGGCATGCAGAAATTCTAAAATTAAAAATATGAAACCGTAATTTATGAAATAAAGAACAATTATGATCTAAAGGGTATCAAAATTTGCAAAAAGAAAAAGCTTAATATTTATTTGTTTACTTATTAACATTTCTTTCAATGTAAGTTGTTTAAGTTTTGCTTTCGTTTCATGTGATAATACTTTCTCTTTAATTCTATTAAACAGACATAATTCTTGTTCAGTTACAAAGTTCCGCTGTTTAAGTCCTATAATTGCTGTGTCGAGAACACCGACTAATTTGTCAATCGAAATTTTTTCGTTTTCAATAACCTCTGTCACTTTTCTTCGCTATCGGAAGCGAATTATAACGACGAGGAACTTGTTTTAAATCATATCAAAGACGGAGCATATCGAGATGAAATACTACATTTGGTAAAGAAATTATAAGCCAAATAAAATAAAAACATCTGCGCTGAAGATAAGGATAATGTTGACAGATCAACTTCCAATTCATTACGTCGCGGCGTTCCCCCCGCCGAGCAGCGTGAAATTGATAAACAGATTTCGGATTTCAAAACATACTTTCGCTTTAGATCCTTTACATATTAACAAATATATATCGGAAATTCTATTTGATATAATCGAAAGTTTAAGCTTACTTTTATAAAATTGCTCTTACAGTCTGCAAAAAATAATAAGCCGGATCCAATTCGAAAATTAAGGAACAACGCAATCATCAACATTAACTGAAATAGATAATTAGATAATTTTAGCTTATACGTCCATTATACATAAAACGCGCACGCGAAAACGCCTATGCGCATGCGCAGAAAGTTTTTAGTTTTGAGGTCCGGATTATAGATCATTCCGTATTATGGGTGTCCGAATTAACGACTTTTGACTGTAGAATGTTTTTACCATTATATCATTATTCCTTGAATTGCAGAATTTTTTTAAATGTCAATCTTAAGATAAAGCTTTGCTTAATTTTGCAACATTTAGATGATTCTCATTATGTTGATGATCAGTGAGGCAGTAATAAATAAATTATACAAAATAAGTTTGACTGTAATTTTTAGGTGTTTATGATGCTCGTATGAGAGTTCTCATTCAGCATATGGCATGGCTTCTCCGTGTTCCTTTGCCTTTAGTTGAAATATATGAAGAATCTGTTGTGGATAGACTTTCTCATGAAATGCAAGAAATATCTGAGTAAGTCAAAAATATTTATATTTTATATTTATTTTTTTAGATTTAAAATATTCAAAACTAAAAAATATAAAATATGTTCCAAAATTTTGGAATCATTCAAGCCATATCAAAATAGGCTAAAGCTTAAAGTTTTATTTCTGTTTTGAGTCCATTTACTAACAATTTTTCCTGTTACTGTACTGTTCTATAATAATTTCTTCTGTGCAGTATTCTCTAGAAATATAAAATTTTCAGTTTGTTTTGTGTTTTGACACAATTACATTTTTTTTTTATTTGGGAATTATTTAGTTGTGATTAAAAAAAAGTGGTTTTTAATGAATTGTGGCCTTTTCTTAATGAAATTCTTATGCATTTAAAATAGGAACAGTAAATACAATTGCTTAGAAAAATGATATGGCCCCATAAGAAATTTGAAAATGTCTAAGGGTAATGAAATATGCTAATACCTATAATGAAAACAGTTACCGTAATATGTATGAGTACTCTAATTTGTCTAGAATGACTAATTTCTCTTTTATTGAAAGCTTTATAATAATTTTGCTTGAAGTCTTTGCAAAATTTCTCAATATAAATTCAAAAAAGATAATTATCACTGATAATTTATTTTCCATAGTTGATTTAATCTCTGCAATTTTTACTGTTATATTTTCACAGATGATAAAAACTGCTACCATATGTTTTCACTGTCTTGTGTCTTAGAAATCTGCATAATGTTATATTGCTTTTCCCAAACGTCAACAAAAAGAATTCACGGTAGCTTTAATAAATTGTTTTGTTTGTGAATACAGTAAACTCCTAATTTACCCAGAAAATACCAGAGATGATGTCTGCAGGTAACTAAAAATCATAGTTAAACCTAGGGCAGTTAAAAAGACATAAGAAACAGGGGTTCTTTCTGTTTATTCACACCTTCCGGAACGTATTGACGAGGCAGTGCACTATGTTGCTAAAATGGGCAACCCATGACATTGTCAAAATGCATTTATGTGGCAACTCAGATATGCATGCATAAGTAGGAGGCAATCAAAGTTATGTACAAACACAGATTTCTGCCCTCAAATTCAATGGTCATTTTGTTTTTCCACCAAGTGCATTTTTTTCTCCTCTTAACAAATCATAATGGGACTGCAGAGTTTGGTGACTGATGAAAAAGAAAGCACTGCATTTCTTCAGAAATATGGCATTCTGCCCAATACTAAAAAAAACGTGAAGATTCATATTCCATGTATTTATACACTGCAGGCCATTAAAATTGCTATGTCAAGAAGGAAAGTAAATAAGTAAATATTGTTTATTGTATGTGTACAGCATAATAGAAGAAAGATATGATTGAATTTGCAGGTGGTTTGGTATACAGAGCATGCAGAATTCAATACACTGAGCTGCCACTTTTAGCAGCAACAGGGGCTCTGGGCATCGAGTTGAACAGAGCTTGGATGACTGATGCAGGTATTTCTTTCCATGTAACTTCAGCTCTGTAAGAGTTCATCAGTTGTAGTGGCTGCAAGTGGTGGTGTTCCAACCCATGAGCAGATATTCTTAGTGGATGAGAGATCTAAAGAATGTACTGGCCAGGGGAACAGTTAAACATTCTCTGTATTGAGAAAGGGCTAAACAGCACAGACAACATGCAGTCATGCATTATCTTATTGAAAGATGCCATTGTGCAAGCTTTAGAAATAGGGCACAGCCATGGACCTTATTGCGTAAAAAATGTAACGGTGGCTGTCCACATTACCAGTTATTTGAACAAGAGGTAACCAGGATGTGTATCTTGTACCAGCATGGTAGGTGCTGAGCCCATTTGATAATGGAGAATGCAATCTGGTAACATTCATTCTGCTTGATGTCACCACATATGGTTGCATTCATCATGATGCTGTATGCAGAACTAGAATTTGTCCGAAAAGATAATTTGATGCCATTCTTGTGTCCAGTGTCGTCATTTGTATGCATGCCTGCTCTACTCCAGTGTCAAGAGAAGCTACAACTATAGTTACCATGCTGTGACAATCTTTGTTGCTTCAGATGTTGTCACATTGTCTGTTTGGATACATTTCTTTCATGCGAGCCAAGCTACTGCCTCAGGGCTCTTGATCCTCATTTGACAGTCATTGGTTACTGATCTGTATAGGCTGCAGTGTTGTGGAACAGTAAACTATGCTTTTGATAGGACTTACTGCAGATGAATTCCAACATGTGCTGGTAGGAATTTTTCTTCTTTGCAAAGCATACACAATCAATCAACATTCAAATGCGATTTCCAAATGCAAAACTTGTTGTGCAATTTTCCCATTTATATTCAATGCATGTTACTGATATCTGCTTTGTGCGCAAATGCTAATCATTTCTAGTCTCGCTATATAGTACTTTTTAAATGCAAATTTGATGTTTGCTGCATGCCGCCTTCGTGATGTAGCAATTTTGATAGCCAGCATTGTGCTTCCTAAAAGATCAAATTTTATGGAATGAAATTTGTGCAGTTCTCGGATGTTTTTTAAGGGGAAACAGATCATTGTGTATAGGAGGAGAGCAGCAGCACGAAGAGAAATGCATATGGATTTCTTCAAAAAGACGTGTTTTATTTGGGGATTTTTGTTGTTTGAATTTTATTAATTCATTGCTATTTCATAGAATTCTTAAGAGTGCTGCCATTTACCTGTTGCCTTTTGTGTATTAGCTTTCACAAAAGTTAGTCACTCACGAGTTGGTGACTTTTTGGAAGGGAGCGAGAATAATCAGAAATTACCGAAATAGGAGTAACCATATTATAAGTAATAAAAAATTACTGTTAATAATTTAATTGTATTTTCAAGCAGTTTAATCAGAAAATTTGGTTGATAAATTAAATCAGCATTCAAAAGTCTTTCTGTCTGTCTCTATCTTTGGCATGTGCATGCATCCACTTTCTCTCTCTCTTTTTAACTCACATTGAGGTGAATCTGCTGTTGGTTTTTGCTTGCATTATTTGTAGGTGTTTGTATGCTCTTAGTATTGTAACAGGAGGCAAAGTGAAATAGAATTGTAATGGATGTATACTTAATTTATTTGTGAGATTGAGTAATTTATGTTTAACGGATGATTCAGCAAAGGGTTAGCATGGATAATCAGAAAGTATTGAAATAGGAGTAACCATATTATAAGCAACAAAGATTTACTGGTAACAAGTACTGTATTTTTCTGCAGTTTAATGTGGAAAATAAGTTCATTTGGTTCTGTAAATTAAATCAGTACTCATAGCTATTTCTTGAGCATATGCATACATCCATTTTTTTTCTTCATTTCTTCCTTATATTCAGGTAAACCTGCTGTTTGTTTTTGTTTACATTATTATGTTTTGTTACATTATTTTTAGGTTTACATTATTTTTGTATGACCATATGAGATAAAGTGAAACAGAATGGTAATGGCTGTATACTTGATATATTTACAAGACTGAGTAGTTTACATTTAATGGGTGATTGAACAATGAATGAATATTTTAAATTACATACAGTTACACCTGTGGATAAAAACAATTCCAAAATATTATGATATCATCTGCTGTTATCCAGTGCACTTTTTTTCCCCCTCTTTGCATTTTCCATTGACAGTTTTTTGTTATATTGATAGTTTGTAATATAAATATCCTTAATTTCTTTTAAATCAGGGCTTGGTTAATCTTCAATATTTGCTAATTTTTTTCCCTCCTACTTAATCAGGAGTTGGCTATACTCAATATTAAAACTTGAGGTGTGAAGGTCCTAAACTTAGAACACATTATTTGCAAAAATTAGATAATCATAAGGGGTATAAAAATTTTTAAATCTTGTAAAAATCAGATGACCAGTAGAATGACAATGAGAATCATATTTTCAGTAAAGTAAAAATTTATTTAACAATAAATATCTATATTTCATAAATTATCTGTGAAGAGATATTGATGGAGCCATTTAGATTATATTATAATAAATCAAAGTGTCTGTATGTTTTTGCAGCTTTTCTAATTTTCTAATTTTATTATACTAAGTGAACAGTTATATTTTTCTTCATTTATTAGGGATGAGCAGAAAGCTAATGCAAGACGTCAGCGAAATAAGAAAATCAAGCGTTATCTGCTAGTTGGTTTAGCAACTCTTGGAGGAGGGGCTGTTTTGGGTAAGTATTTTATATAGGTATTTCAATAATGGCTTTATGTTTTTCTGGAGAGAATGACCCAGAGTAATTATTAATTCTGTATATTTTATGCTATTAATATACATTTTGTTAATTAAAAACTGGTCTAGTTAAAAATTTAAATTTTAGAAATTAAAATGCATTATTGTTGTTTCTAAAGGACAATAAATTCTTAAATATGTTAAAGTAAATGTGTAGGAATCAATTACTTTTTTAATTAACAAATGTTGTAAAATAAAGGGCATAGACTATTTTATTTTAACCTTATAGTATGACTTCTGGTTCAGTAGTTTTGTAAATTGTATCTTGTAGCTTGTTTAATGATTTGACTGAGACTTTGCTTCCTACTTTAATCAAAACTAGTACTGAAGCAAAACAATAAATATCAGATGTAATTGCAATTTTACAAAAATTGGTTTATCTGTGCTAATGATGTAGATTCAGATTTGTAATCCCCTCTGATCTTTCTGAATAAATATGTTAATTTTCTGTTTTTTACTTCCTTGTACGAAGGAAGTATTGTAATCGCAAAAAGTTTCAGGCATCATATTTCAGCACAACGCTATCCATTTCCAGCGCTATGAAATGCAATTTAACGATGTTTTTGCTTGACATATGTTTGTAAGGGCAGAATAAAGAACTCTCCCCCCCAAAAAAAAAAAAAATTGTAAAACTAATTTAAAATGAATTCTGAAGAGTATTTTTCGTGGCGTCTGTGCGTACGTATATACATATGTATCTCGCATAACTCAAAAATTTTATCTTTTTCTGTATTATCATTCATAATTTTATAATAATAATGTAAAAAGGCACAAAATGTGATAAAGAACGGTTTCAGATTGCAACCATTGTGATGTCTGATTTGAAATGGGAATGTGCTTCTCAATTGTTTTGTCGAAAAATAAAGTGTGTTGGATCATTATGCTTGATTGCATCCACATAATCATACATCTCAGCCACCATCTACAACATCGGCCTTGATTGAAAGTATCTGTATCTTCTCTTATCAAAACCAATCCATATATAGTATCCCCCCCCAAAAAAATTGTTATCATTGGAAGCATATAAATAAGGCTAGTTAAATTATAGAGAAAAAGAGAATATTTAAGTTATTAGTAAAATAGTGACATATGAATATAATGATGTAAACAAATCTGAAATAAGTTTAAAAATAGTGTGTTTCATAATGGAAAAAATTAGTTCCTAAAATTGGCCAGAAGAAACTTATTTCTTCAGGCCAGTTTTTGCCCATGTATTTTTTTTTCCCTTTGTGGAAGATGCTTGCCAACCATGTTTCTATTAATACTGCCACACCTATACAGTATATATCTAGTTTTTAATTATTAAAAAAACTTGACTTTTAATCACCAATCAGAAGTAATAATAGAAGTTTAATGATGCAAACAAGCACAATTTACTGTAATTTGAATTTGGTTAAACTACGGTAATTTTTGGAATTTTTGGAATTTCGTAAAACTATAACAAATTATTTTGTTACATATATTTTACATAATGTTATGAAGTATACAAGTATTTTATTTATTTTTAATTTATATAATTTTCATTTTTTGTGTCACAGAATTCTTCCTATATTCAAAATTAATAATTCAGAAATATGATTTTAATCATGAGAAGAACTATAATTTGCCATTATTTGAAAGGGGATGGAATAATTACTCACAGTATTAAGGTGAACATCAGCATGACTTCATTTACTTCTGGCAAATTTCTTGCATCTGAAATATTTTAAAGAGAGAATTTTATTCATAATGTTAAGAAAATTCTCTCAAATCTTTATCAATAACAAATGGAGAGGAATCTCTGCAAGTAGCAGTGGTTTTTGAATTGTTAAACACTGAATAGAGCAGACTGCAAAGAATAAATATTAAGGGCATGAAATTTCTTTTGATTTGAAATTTTGTATTAAAGAACTTATGCAGATGAGAGGGGAGTAGAATCAGAGATTTTCAAGGGGTACATGCATGTATAGGTTGGCTATTACTGCTCATCTGTACAAAAAATATACAAAACATGACATTTGGTATTACTAAATTGCATCAGTTGAATTTCCAGGAATATATGCTATAAAAGATAGATCTGTTACCTTATATAGATAATTAAAGGAATGTTTTGCGTTAATCAAAATGGAAGCTGCACATTGGATAATTATTATATTTCTGGGATAATTTAAGTTTAAAATCTTGTTAAATCATGTTTATTTATTTATTGTTGCAATATAATCCTTACAACTTATCTTTTATTATTCCAAGTAAAATTATTAGTAAAATCATCAGAGAAACAAGCCAAAGTGAAATTTAAAATTAGTTAAGAAACAACCTTGCTTAAATCTACGGGAAATGCAAGGTTGTTTCTTTACTAATTAAAAAATATATATGTTAGTACTTTAATTTGTGTTACTTTTCAATATCTGATGTGAAGTTTTTGAAAATTAAACTATAAATGGTCTCATTTTGAAATTGAATAATCTGCGATGCATCATAAATGCCAAATGCAAATTAAAAAGTAGGCTGTTGTAATAGTAGAAATTGGTAAACCATGTATTACTTTGATTATTTGCATCTGCATTTTCTGCCTTTGAGAGAACTGCCATGTTTTTTTTTTTTTTGGGGGGGAAGCTTGTTTTTGAACATTCACCCAGACATTAACCAATCTATTTGTGTGTGTAGCATACACATATTTGAGTGCATGTCAGTTCACATGTCTTATATCTAATATTATTTTAATGATCTGTAGCTTCCCCAAGTCCATATTTTTTTATGGTAAAGATTAAAAAGTGGCACAGTAAAATGAACAGCATTTATGACTCTTGCACTTAAGTGTGAGCAGAATAGTACCCATGAGCCATAAAATTAACCAAACAAATATATTTCACCAATTAATTTTTTTGATGTGTAGCAAGTTACGTTTAAATTTAATAGTCATCAATTCATGATGTAATAAAAAGAGTATGTATAATACAGAAAATTCATTAAAAAACATAACAGTTACCTAATCATCTGAACATATTTTCCACTGATGGCATGTAAAAATATTAATGCATTTCTAAGAACGCAATCATAGATGAATAATAACATTCCGACATTCTCAGTTTTATATATTCCTTGAGATAATATCATTTATTTTTCACATTTGTAAGAAATATTTTGGTTGAAGAAATTAAAAAGTTACTATATATAAGTGTGTGTGTATATATATACATATATATATTAAGGTCCCTCTTAAAATATTTACTTGTTTCCAAAATTCTTGTGGTTATTATTCCTAGTAAAATTATTAATAAAATCATCAAAGAAACAAGCCAAAGTGAAATTTAAAATTAGTAAAGATACAACCTTGTTTAAATCTATGGGAAATGCAAGGTTGTTTCTTTACTAATTAAAAAATATATATGTTAGTATTTTAATTTGTGTTACTTTTCAATATACCTGCCATATTGTATTGTTACTGCCACCCATGATCCTCATGATGCTTCAACACATGGGTGAAAAAGGCTAATCCATTTACAAAAAAGGGAAGTCAGTTTTGCTGAAGTACATTGGGTTATATTTCATGTTTTGGTAAGATCTTGCTGGATTCTACTACATGGCACACAAGAAACCCAAAAGAAGCATGTATACAGGATGGAAGAGGATGTGAGAACATTGTTACAAAATAATAAAGAAAGAACATTTGCATTTACATAGGAGGAGAAATCTTAGGAATAATCCTTGTCTGCTCTGAAATGGGAATCAAAAATTTCATTAGTATGTTTCTGACAGCTACCATCAATGGGTGGACAGTACAGTGGTATTGAAATACTGATTAAATCTATGTTTATTCCTGACTTTACATTTATATGGAATATTTATTTATTTATTTATTTTTTTTTTTTTTTTCACTTCTAAGGTTTGACAGGGGGGTTGGCTGCTCCATTCATGGCTGCTGGTGCAGGAGCAATCATAGGTGGAGCTGGTGCTGCAGCATTAGGATCTGCTACTGGTGTTGCAGTCATTGGGTCTCTGTTTGGCATGGCTGGTGCTGGTTTGACAGGTAAAAGAATAATTATGTATACAGTCAAAAGTCGTTAATTCGGACACCATAATCCGGAATGATTATAATCCGGACCTCAAAGCTACAAACTTCTGCGCATGCGTTGCGTTCACGCATGCGCACAGGCGTTAAGAGTGCGCATAAGACCTTTACAGATGCGATATGTTTGTGCACATGCACGATTAGGTTGTAACGGAGGATAGCTAAGCTAAAATTATATAATTCAGTTAATGTTGCACTGCGTTGTCCTTAATCTTCATATTGGATCCGGCTTATTATTTTTGCAGACTGTTAGAGCAATTATAAAAAGTAACTGAACTTTCGATTATGTCAAATAGAATTTCCGATATATGTTTACTAATATGTAATTTGTATCTTACAAGCGAAGTATGTTTTGAAATCGAAAATCTGTTATCAATTCACGCTGCTGCGGATTGGAAGTGATCTGTCAGCACTATCCTTTCTTAGGGCAGATGTTTTATTTTATTTGGCTTATAATCCTTACTAAGTGTAGTATTTCATGTCGATTGTACTGTGTTGATATGATTTAAATCAAGTTCTCGTCGTTGTCATTATAATTCGCTTCTGATAGTGAAGAAAGTGACCCAGAGGTATTGGAAACGAAACACATTCGATTGACAAAATTAGTCGGTATTCTCGACACAGCAATATAGGGACTTGAACAGGGAACTTGACTAAAAAGAAATTATGTCTGTTTAATAGAATAAAGAGAAAGTATTATCACATGAAACGAGAAACTTACATTGAAAGAAATGTTAATAAAGTAACAAAAAATATTAAGCTTTTTCTTTTTTTAAATTTTGATACCCTTAGATCATAATTGTTCTTTATTTCATAAAATTACAGTTTCATATTTTAATTTTGTAATTTCTGCATGCCATCTACGATTTAACTGAGATCTATAATCCAGAAAAATCGATAATCCGGAATCACCGAATTCCCGATGAGTCCGGATTAACGACTTTTGACTGTATTGTTGTTCATCTGTATACCATCTGAAAATATCACCCTTATTAAACTTAAAAGTTCTGAGCATTTATTAAACTGCATTAAAAGCTGGGGGTGAAACATATCTTCTGAAATGTTATGCATTATCTCATGAAAAATGACATGAACACTTTTTTTTTCCAGAATTGTTTTAGTAAAGTTTTATCGCTGTCAAAATGAGTCGATGCCAAATGTATGTTTTCTTGCTGAAAGTAAGAAAGCATACTTCCTTTGAGAACAATATTTAACACATGTTCTGTAACAAAAATGATTGAAAATTTTTTTTAAATGTTATCTTTGTAACAGTTAAATGGCATTGAGTAAAATATACAAAAACTTAGCTTTAATGTGATATAGCAGCAAAAGCCATACTAGCATGCCTTTGCAAACAGAAGTTCATCACACATTCTATGTATATTATTTAGTATATGCGTATGCTGTCAGTAGCTGTACATATTATTCAGTATCTTTGTAAGTTATGAGTATCTTTGCTTATTAAAGGTGTCTGCGTATTTATATGATGTTGAGATCAGAATTTTTTAAGTAACTTTTATAGCTGCATTTTTGAAAGTGAATTCAGAAGCCAGGCAACTTCCATTCTTGATATTTTTTTTTTTTTTTCCTAGTGGTACTTGATGTACAGAAATACAGTCCAAGAATTTTTGGTACTATTCCGTTTTGTGAACCGTAAAAAAATTGCAGCGAAAATGTATGCGCAAATCTAGCAAATGCGCCCATTTAACAGCATACCAAATCTAGCGTACATGCTAATTTCAGATTGTGTAGGTTTATATTGTTCTATGTCTTAAGACGCCATTGAAATACTAGTTTAATTTTTTAAATCCTTTTTTGAGATACTATGGATTTAACAATTTGGGATTTCCCATGACGAAAAGTCTGCAATAGAATTTTGGGTAAAGTGCAGAATCACCAACTGCTTGATGTATTTTTAAGAATTGCACATACTTAGTATTCTTGTACACATCAACCTAAAATATCCCAGAATTACACAAAAATGGCACTGCGCACACCCTTGACTTTATCTATGTACACATCGACCTATTTTCACTTAAGTAAAAGAAAAATTGACAAAAATCCAATTGTTTTTACCCTTGTAAAAAGCGGCAAACAAATAAGTGAGCGATTCTGCACTTTACCAAGAATTTTTTCAAAGAAAAAGCATCATTCATTATAGAAAATTATATCTGAACAACCAAAGAGATGATATTCTTTAACTTGGTAGCGAAATAGCGATGCAGGCATCCATTCCATTATGTTTAACAATTTTTATATAATTATCTGAAATAGTTATTTACTCTTATGCTTCCATTCAGCCATGTTTAGCCTTTTTCATATAAACTAATAATAAAAAAGTATTATATGAAATTAACCTTTATCTAAATTAAAAATCAATCTAGATAGGTATTTACTATTATACTTCCTTTCTTGCATTAGGGTTGCCACAATTATTTGTGGCAGCACTGGAATCAATAATAGTTTGTCAATTTTTTATGGCCCTCAAAGTACCGAATTTTTAATCTCTTAATTTTTTTTCTTTGTAGTCTTTATTTGCTTTAATTAATTTTAAGATCATTTAATTTATTTGTGTTGTTTGGATTGTTTATTGTTTGTTTGCATGTTTTTTTAATATATATAAAGCTGCAGCAGCTTTTCTTTTCTTTACTAAATTTGCATGTAAGGAGAGATATTAATAAAATCTGTTCCTCCCCCCCCTTTTTTTTTTCAAAAAAATTTCTTACTTATATTTATGTAAATGGTATTTCTTTTTAATACTCATGCCTAATTTTTTAACAACTTAGTTTATAAATGTAACAAAAAATAATAATGATTAATAAAATTAATAATTTAATAAAATTTAAATCATAAAAAGGAAATATTGTTTCGAATTTACTGATTTAATATTTTAGGATATAAAATGCAAAAAAGGGTTGGTGATATTGAAGAATTCATGTTTGATACTTTGACTGATGGCCAGCAGTTACATGTTACTTTAGCTGTTTCAGGGTGGTTATCTGAAGAGGATAAAGGTAAAAAGTATGAAAAACATATTCCTTTTTTAAATAGCATACATTTTTATGTAATATAAAAATGCATTTTTTAAAAAATAAATTTCAAACAGTTTAATTCATGCATACTGTAAGTCAGGTAACATTATTTATACATTAAAGAGTTGGTGGTTGAAATTGCTACTGGACATTATAAGAACTTCTTTTAGTGTACTTAAATTATCGAGAAACCCAGAACTCAAACAAGAACTGAGAATTGCTTTTGACAAGACCTTACTGTGTGCATGCTGAGACAGTGAAGGCCACCTTTAACTATAATGTACTAAAAATATAGAAAAAGCATTTCTTATTTCAGCAGTTTGCTTACTAACTAGGAAAGTATCTTGTTTTGCTTTAAAGATGTGCAGATTGAAAAATTAAATGGGTTGGCTCTAAATTCCCCGAGCAGTTTGCCACAACTTAGAGGAAGCTATATTCCCCAAAATAGTGGCTATAATAACAAAATAGAGGTCTAACCAATGGTGAACAACCAGTTTAACCAAGCGTTCACATTTTATCTTACAAAAGTAAAATATCAAATTATAATTAAACACTTTACTTTTTAGAAAAATAGAAAATAAAAACAGTTGTACATAAATTAAAAAAAATATGTAAAATTAAAAAAATAAATCAATAAAAAATCACATAATAACACAAGAATTATTTAAAATAAAAAGTAAATTTAATTGTGCAGCACAATTGAAGTTAAAAGCTGCTATAGATTATTTTCTTCTTGATTCACATCAATATATTTTATACGTGTTTTTAAAGGCCAAAAAGAATTTTTAAAATAGTTTTAGGTACATTCTCTTAAAAATTTAACACTTGAGGAAACTGTCATGAAATCTGAAGTATTTTACACAGTCAAAAATCTTGCATCTTCCATCTTTTAATAGAGCACTAAACAATGGGACTTCATCCCATCATCCTGATCGTAAAAATTTGTCCAGCAATAAATTTACTGAAAAAAGATGTTTTCCTGCACCTATTTAAATTTTAGGCTGTCTACAACACCTTTAATCAAGCTGTAATTCTTAAGAAGAGAAAGACTAATGCAAGTCAAAATATGATTATTATATGTAAAAACACAGTTTTCTTGGAATAAATAAACAAGGAAACAGAAAGAACAAAGAGCTGGTAAATTAGAGACATATAGTATATGAAAAACGCTTGGTTGGTGAGCCTGCTTATGCAGACTCACCAATGAGCCTAGACTAAGCTGAGATTAAAGTTAACTATATTTACTTAATAGGCATAATGACTGCAATTTGATATGGTTTTCCCTTTATGTTGTACCTTCTACTGAGCCTGCCTTTGTATTAAGAACTAAACAGCAAAATTTAAAAATGAATCATTTGTTCTCGAGTGCATATAAAAATTTGTGATGCTTGTTAAAATTTGGTACTAATGTTCTGTTAGAGATTTCATCCCTTAACTCCAAGTAGAAAATTTACAGAATCTTAAAAATGATTAAATCAGGATTTAATTCTTTTAAAATTGTATTCATTAGTAAAATATTCAGGTGTTGATTGTCTGTGTATATATGTGCATATATATAGAGAGAGAGTTAATTAATGCAAATTACAAAAACTCACAAAGTGCATGTGTACCTGAACGTTCAAATACACAAGTCAGTTTCTGATTAACTGGGGGGGGCGGATTAATCAGATTTCGTTTAATGTGGGACAGTAAAAAAAAATAGTATTTAGTGTAACCAACATTTAGCGTGACTTCTTGCTATTTGCCTTGTAGTAGATTAATTCATCATTGGTAAAAATCCTTTAGTTTAGAATAAAAAAGACATTATAATGTATTTTTACATCTTGTGCATAATCTAAGGTTTTAAGAGCCATGGAATTCTGTAATGATAAAAAAAGAGGATGATAACTTGACGGATCTGGTCTGCGCTCGAAGTCTGGGAATAGCATAAAGCTTACCAATCAAAGTCGAGTAGTTTTTTTCGGAGTGATCTTGGCAGTATATGTCAACATTAACAGCTTGGTTATGTAGGAGTTAATTTCAATTGATTATTTCAGTTAAATTTCACCATACACTTTACAAAATCTTTTGAGAGGTATTCCTTTTCTTGATAAGGGGGGCACAGGCTCTGCTAAATGACAGAAAGTTCTGTGATATTTGACATTACAATAGAATATGCATTTCTCGTCACTTGGTTCATTCCTGGAGACAGGCACTTTTTCTTACTCATCTCTCCTTTTGAAAGAGTAGAAGTGAACCCCACTGATCCATCTTTTTGATGAACTCAAATGCATGCATTCGTCTTTAAACTGTTGTACTGAATTGTATTTCCCCTGAAGTTCCTGGGAGGCATTCAGTATTGTTTAACCCAAAATCTACTCAGAAACTGATGGATATCTGGAAATGTGGTTAATTTTTACAGCTTCTGTCTTCCTCCCTGAATTTCTAAAACCAGTGATAACATGTGCTGTCATTAAACACGTCCTCCCATATATTTGACGAATGTTTTATCATGCTAGGACTGTATAAGACTTGTAGAACAAACATTGTCTGATATGCTCCTCATTCTTTCTAGTTTTAAAAAGTTTTAAATCTTTTTTTTTTTTTTTTTTTTTTTTTTTTTACTGTATGATTTACTTTTACATCTATGTTGCCATTTATATGCTATCTGCCTACACATTTTATTGGCTGAAAATTCCAGTCAACACAGTAGATAGTAACTGATAGTGGCTGAAAATTCCAATCATCACAGTGTAGGATGTGAAATCTGCTCATAATTTTAAGTTCTAAAAAAACAAAATGGATTTTTGCATCACCCCAATACGAAATAAAAAATGTGCTTTTTACATTAGAACAAAACATGCTAACAAAATAAATAAACTAAATGCATTTACAAATACTTATAATTTTTTCCATTTCAAATAAAAATTCCTTTTCCCATACTAGTAAAAATATGCCAGAGTTGCTTGCGATAGTAATAAAATAGGTGTGGAGTAAGAAAGATTAATATATTTTTTATGAAATTGAGAGTTATGCATAGACTCCAACTACTACAGATTCTCCGTAGTTTCTACGGAAATTCATGAAAAACTACGAGCTACGAAAAGTATGGAAAAAACTACGGATTTTACAGAAACAAGAGCAGGAGAACCAGTACGCAAAACGGAACCAACTAATTCATCCGATGATTGGCTGAATACTCGTGTTATCATATATCACGTGTTGAGTGCGTTCCTAGTTTTGAAGAATTAGCCAATCGTAGATCAGTAACTCCAACCGTTAACGACTTATCAATAGTTCCACCCAATTGTCTGTCTCCCAGGTTCCTCGATGATGCGTGTTTAGGCTGCATTCGGCGGCATTGTGTAGTTTACGGCGAGAGCTTAGCGTGTGTCTGTGAACTGTGAATCAGGTGAAAGATTTTTAATCATAATGCTGCCTCGAACGAAGAAGCCAAATTATCAAAGCAGAAGTTAAAGATTCATATTCTTCAGAATTTCCATGCATTAAAGCGTCCGAAATTTCTGTGAATCACGCACACTGCAGTGTATGCAACAAAGACTTCTCAGTGCTCATGGCGGAAAAGATGACTGTAAACGGCATGTGTTTTCTCAAAAGCATATAGAACTTGGCACCGTAAAATCTAAAGAAAATAACAAATTCTTAATAAAAGATGATGAATTGAAAACAGATCCTAAAAAGCCGAATGCTATTTGTTCCTTTTTAACTGAACATAATCTACCGCTTTCTGTTTCGGATCATTCCAAAGAGCTTTCAAAGCAATGTTTCCGGATTCTGCCATAGCAAAAAAATTTAGCTGCGGTCATACCAAAATGCTGCTATTGTGAAAACGCTTGCAGAAAAATGCTTGTTGCATGATTATAAAATCAGTGGCAGTACATCATTTTTCCCAGTACTGATGGAAGTAATGAGTAACATGATAACAAACTGTACCATTGGTCAATAACTTACTAAGAAAGAAAAGGGAGTGATAATTACTCCTTGATTTCTATTTTAGAATGCACGAATAATAATACAGGAGAGGTATTTTTAATTGTATAAATGAAAACTTTAAAAACAAAGGTTTAGAATGGAAAAAATTGCTTATCATTTTCTTCAGATAATGCTAGTAATATGATTGGAAAGTTTAAAGGTGTAGCATCATTTATCAAAATGCATCAACCAAGTATAATCACCCGAGGTTGTCCGTGCCATCTCTTGCATATAGCTGCAAAAAAAGTACTGAAAAATTAATTGGCTCAGAAATTGAAATGTTGATAATAGATATATATTTTACTTGGAGAAAAGTTCGAAACGGAAGCATAGCTTCAAAGTTGCTCAACAATTTTGGGACAGAATGCAAAATCTCATAAAATTTGAAATATTGCAGTACGAGATGGTTGTCTCTTAGAATCTATACACAAGGATTTGGAACAGTGGGATGCTGTGATAATTTTTTGGAGATAAACCAGATAACAGTGAGAATGAAGGAAAGAGATTGCAAAACATTAAAAAAAACAGTCACCGACCACCAAATTGTACTTGTTATTTTTGAAAAATACTTTGCCTTTTTTATAACAGTAAATATTAATTTGCAACAACAAGCTCCTTATATACATAAATTGAGAAGAGAACTTTTGAACTTTTAATGAATTGTTTGTTAGATTCGTAAAACCATCAGTAATTTCTAAAGAAAGAAGATGTTACTCTAACGTCTATTCCATTTCAGAAGTATAGTAAACAAAAAGAAAATGAAAATTTAGTGATTGGTGCGGAAAACAAGACTATATTTAAAAAATGCCAAGTTGAATGAAAGTGAAGTGAAATATTTTTCAATTCTGTGCGAGCTTTTTTGTAACTGCATGTTCATATATAATTGATAAATTTCCACTGAGTGATCCATTCTAAAACATGCTGAAGTTGCTGACATCAACTTGAGAACTGAAGTCTCATTTTATCTGTTCTTACTTGTGAATACTTTTCCATCCATTATTGATGAAAAATCTTAATCAAGTAGAAATTGAATTTTCCATGTATCAAGTAGATGATTGAAAGAAATTGTAGATTTGCGTATTGATATAGCATGGGGAGAAATTGCCAAATTAAAAAATATGAATGGGTTGTATTAAATACAAAGTATATGCCTTCAGTAATGCTTGCTGTCTTAATAATACCTCATTCAAATGCCAGCTTGCGAAAGAATTTTTTTCATTGTTAAAAAAAATCAGACGGAAATTTCGACCCAAATTTAGGTCTTAAAACTCTTGAAGCAGTTTTGATTGAAAAAATAAATATGCAGGCAAATGAAGAACTGTGTTATAAAAAAACATTCTCAAAATCAGAACTTAAGCTTGCTAAGCATGCTACATATAAATCTTTGCATCATAAATTATGCGTATTTTGTTTAATACTTATATGTATCATCTTGGTATATTTAAATTTTATTTCCTGTAGAAATCATATCCAGAATAAAGATATGATATATAGCTTCGATTTTTTCTATGATTAGTAGTGATTTGAAGTACTTTTTATTAGTGAATGCTTGAGGAGTTAAAAGAAAATTTCTAATTAAATGTGCATATAATTTACAAGGTATATTTTAATTATTCAGTTTTATATGTATATGGATTTTAAATGTAATAAAATTGATTACAATTAATTATTAATTTAAAATTAATGAATGGTTAATTACAACATACGCTACGCGCACATTTTCAAAGTTGTAAAAATGTCGTTCGCGCGTTGACTACTGACAAGGTTTGCTGAAGGTTGGAGTCTATGGTTATGAAAGTTAATGTGTTTTGGATCATAGTTTTTAATTATACTGTTAATTTTAATTTTTCAATGTTCCAATCAATAAAAATTAATTTTCCATTAATTTAACGTAACATTTTTTTTTTTTTCTTGCAAGGGAAACAAAATAAAAAGTGCTTGCAAATACCAATTACCTTTATAAACTTGAAAGGAAAATTCTCTGAAGAGGGGTCTGGTGCTTGCAGAGTGCATCATCATAGTTATTGTAATCATTGTCAATTCTTTAAAAGAGTGAGGTTATATTTCTAAAAATATTTATTATGATAATCTTTTTTTTTTATTTATTTATATAGACTATAAGATTTTCAGCTTTATAATGGAGATTAAGGAAACTTCATTAAAAATTTGTTTCATGCCTCATTACCCAAATTTAATTTAAAAAAATTATTTTTAGAGGCATTTCAAGAGCCTTGGCGCACTCTTATGCATTCCAGAGAACAGTATTGTTTAAGGTATGAATCTACATATCTTCTACAGTTGGGTCGAGCTATGGATTATCTGTTCAGTTTTGCTGTTTCAATGGCTGCGCAGGAAGCTCTGAAATATACAATTTTATCAGGTATGTAATTCTTGATTACTTTTAACCATTTCTTGTAAGCGTTACATATTCAGAAATTAAATTATCAAAATAATATGTTGGGATTATATTCAGTGCATTCTGACTATGATTTGATTTCCTTCAAGGGCTCTGATACTGTCAAATTAAATTTCAGTGCATTGCAACAAAATCATTAATCTATGGCTTCTTTTAATTTTTATGTGGTATATTTAGCAGGATTCATGGAATGTTACATAACATTGTTATAAAATATGAGACTAAAATTCATTTCTTATTTGATTGTTTTTATTTTTTTTAATCCACACTGATTTGTATTGATAACAAATCCAACACAAACATGACTTTCTTAATATGTGGTTAGATATTATTACATTGAAATCAAGTTGAAAGTATGAAAAATGTATGCAATGCATCAACTTTCATTCACTTTTGAAAGTTGACCAGTGGCCGAGCAGTAAAGTTGCTGAAGTGTGGTAGTTCGATTTGAATTTTACTCCTGATGAATGCTCGGTTGCATGACCATTTTTTGTGTTTTTCCCCATGTATAACATAGGTATGAACCAATTTTTCATTAGAAATTCCTTCACAAAGTCATCCCTCTCTTTAGGCAGGTAGCCCATATGTACTTTGCTTTAATCAAATAAAAATGAACCAAAGCTAGTCATTGGTGGTTAGTAAGGATAGGTCCCATTCTTCAAAGGACCAGGATTTGAATCCTGGATAAGGCAGAAGCATTTGTTCTAGTCATATGATCCATAGAATAGATGAATGGGAAATTTGTCTGTCCAAATATTGTCTTCTGTAGTTAGTGGTAGGGAAAGAATTGCTAGAGACCGTTAGATATCATTCCTTGGGACATCTTTATCCAAATTTGTACAATGTTAGGCAAAAGCTATGATATCATTTGTTGGTGCTAAGCTCTAAAACCAATTGCTGATGTATTCATAATTCACCCTCCTTGATTCTTCATGGGCTTGTCAGTTTTGATATGGAATGTGACAGTAGCACAGAACAGATTACCTTACAAATAATGTTATTTGTGTATTATTCTGGGAATTTTCTCTCCACACACTGCTTCAAATGCTAATTTAAATAGAAAAATAGTATGAAAAATTCAATACAAATGAATATGACACATTTTAAGAATACCAGAACTTTGGAAGGTCCAAAAGTGAAATTTTTATGCCCTATGCCAGATGGAAAGAAATCAAAAGGCTGACTGAAATGGATTTAGAATAAAAATTTTACAAGAGAGAAAAAATCAGATTCGTATGGCAATAACTAGTTTGTTGTAGTTCTTTTTTTACTTCCTTGTACGAAGTAAAAAGGAAGTATTGTAGTCGCGAAAAGTTTCAGGCAGCATATTTTAACGAAAATATCCATTTTGGCCACTATCGAATGCAATTTAACGACGTTTTTCCGTGATATCTGTACGTAAGGACAGAATTAAAGACTTGTTTCTTCCAAAAAAATTATAAAACTGCTTTAAAATGAATTCTGAAGAGAATTTTTCGTGGCATCTGTACGAACGTATGTAAGTACGTGCGTACGTATCTCGCATAACTCAAAAACGAGTAGCCTCAGAACGTTGAAATTTTGTATGTGCACCTCGTATTTTGGTTTCAATCGGCCGCGCCAAACGTATATAAATATATTTATAAATATATCCACTCTATTACCCGGCTCGGTGATCTCAGTTTCTTTACTCTTATATGTTTGTAAATTGTACATTTTTTTCTTTAAAAATGATTGAATTATATTGTTTTTATCTTCCGGTTAAGGGTTTTATGCCTTTAGTAATTCTGTATATATATTTTTAGAATTATCAACAATTTTAAAATTGTTTAAGTGCCATTAAGTCTAATTTGATGGCGGCCATTGATGTTTACATTTGAAACAGGAGACTAGTGGATTTGTTGCCAATCTAGAGAAAATTGGCTCACAACAACAAAGATAACGCATCATTTATTATTAATTAAATTATGTCTTAATCTTTCTTGATTTTTTTAGGGAATAAGCGTTTAAATTTACTTTATACTTTTTTTAATTCAGATTTTGATTTTTTGTTTTTTGTTTTTTGCTTTTTCTTTATACATAGTTCTAGCTTTATATATTTGAATAGAACATGTGGCAACGATTAGATAATTCTTTAAATGATTAAATTTTGTGCTTTCAGAGTTTTAATTGAACGAAATATAATACTGTTAAGAAACCGTGCGCCAGAGTGTTGCTGTGGTAAACAAAGTGAATTTTAAAGAATGTTTTATTCTATTGTGGTTTATGCACTGTCGGCGAAGAAGTAGCTTTAATCATCTAATAAGTTTAAATAAAAGCAAGAAAAAATGCGTATAATTTACTATTCCGTACAAGGAAGTCATGTGGTGTACACATCAGATTTTTTTAATTATATTTTAGCAATAAGAGCTTGGTTTCATTTAATGTCAAGAGTGAGTGTAATTTTTTTTAAACAAAAATAAATTATTTGAATGATTTTCCTCTCAGTTGATTTTTAATGGCATTATTGCTGAAAATTCAAAATCTACAAAACCTAGTAAGTTAGCCTATTATGTATATGTGTGAGTTTAATATGTAATCTTTATGCAAAATTATATTTTATTTATTTATTTTGTATATGTAACATAGGTACCAAGTTGAGATTTCTAATTATGAAAGTATTTATTTGAACATCTTGATGGACTTGCTCCATTTCATTCATGGGTAAAATTTTGTGTAGAAAAATCAAAAGCATAAAAAAAATAGTTATTTGCTTTAGGGGAAAAAATGAAATAATATCAGTTAGGAGCAGAAAAAATTAAAACAAATTGAAGAAATTTCTGATCAGCAGAAAAATACTGTTTGCAGATTTCTCATTGTCAACAAATAAGAGCCCTCAACATCATTGTTCTGTATTGCCATTGAAGAACTACAACAGAAAATAGAGATAAAAGGAAATCTGTAACAGTATACAGTAAGGAAGGAATTGTCAAAGATAAAATTTTGAAACTGTCGCAAAAAATCGTAATTTCAAAAAATCGGAAAATAATTCAAGAGAATTTACACAGTTAAATCCTTGCATAAGCGATGATATAACTCATTGGCCTACAGAGCTATCTGACACAGTGTTTGAGCATATACTTTTAAATAAGCCTAAAACTATATATCACTAAATATCATTAAAATATAATTTTTATTGCATGAAAGTGAATGAAATCAAAGAAGAAAGAAACTGGTTCATATTTCCAAAAGCAAGTGAATATGTAGTATATTTCTACCCTTGTAAACTATTTTCCACATTAAAATTCAGATTAATTAGGGATCTCTGAAACTGGAAATCTGTAACTACTTTTTATATCAGGAAATGAAATCTCAAACAGATATATGTCATCTGTTTGTATTTTGCATAAAAGAGTTTTGAACAAAATCGATTCTGATTTATTGTAATAGAGAGATCATGAAGAAAATTATATGAAAATAAGTAGTAAAAAAAAAACAATATCTGCTACAAAATTGTTACGTTGATTGGGTTTAGCATTTTGAACTCATGATAAAAGTCGGAATTCAAGGAGGAAAGAAAACTATTTTAATTGCTTGGAATATCTCAGTAAATATGATAGTGTTTTGAATCTTCATGTAAAAAAATATGTGAAGGTGAAGAGATGTAAGTTATTAGTTGTATGATGTTTGTGAGGAATTCACTAGCATCCTTAACAAATCTTTAATGGTGTATTAACAGAAGAAATTAAAACAGTAACTTACTATAGTATTAATTACTTTTCTAAAATGTTAGGATATAGTTAACTACAGAAGTTGAATATAGATTTACACTCAAGAGCCAAAACATTATGACCAGCCCTACTTTGCGATAACTTGCCTGAGATGTGAAGGCATGTTTCATGTGATGGTATTTAACTGCTGCTGAAGATCTGAAGAATCATTCTTTCACTTTTTCTGTGTCTGTGGGAAAGGCTGTGGATCTAAGCAACTTGTAGAGGCAGATTGTAAATGGCTCGAAGGCTCGGAACAAGTATTTCCGAAATGCACGACTTGTGGGTTTGTTCGCGATCTACAGTTGTAGACGTATTAAAATGGATGAATGATGGTGAAACAGCAGTAGACGACATGGTGTTTGGACGTCCACACGCTATCAAAAAAGGTCATCGGAGACTGTCTCGCATGGTGAGCAAACTGAGCCAGACAGTGGCTCAGCTGAAATCCGAAGACAATGCAGGGCCAAGTAGAAAAGTATCGGAGCACACTGTTCAGCGGACCTGCTGGATACGGGGCTACACATCAACTCCACTGTCGCCTTTCTGACCAAGCGTCTGCGCCTGCGCTGGGCCCAGGAACATCGCGACTGGTCCATGGATCAGTGGGAGGGATTGCCTGGTCAATGAATCACGGTTTGTCTTCTCACTCCGATGGTCGTGTTCAGGATACGCGTCTTCCAGGTGAACAGTTGCCCTCAATGCACATAGTCATACACAGGTCGTGGTGGCGGTATTATGCTCTGGGACGTTCTCTTGGCGTCTCTGGGACCCATTTTGTGGTAGAGCAGACCATGAATGCTACAGGGTATCTGAACATCATTGCGGACCAGTTGCAACCCTTACACCTCTGTTTTTCCAGCTGGAAATCGAATGTTCCAACAGGACAAGCCCTGGTCATAAGGCTACAATTGTGTTGGAGTGGTTCTAGGAACATGATTCTGATTCCAGTTAATGTCCTCCGCCTAACTCACCGGATCTCAATCCGATAGAAACATTTGGATTTTTGGGACAGCAGCTCAGAGGTCAAAGACCACATTTTGAATATCTCGTTTGCAGACGTTGCTACAACATCTGGTACAATCTGTCTCCGGCCATCTATCAAGAACTTGTGGCATCCATGCCAAGGCGGGTTGAAGCTGTGTTGCGTACCAAAGGTGGCTCAACTCGTTATTGACAGGTGGTCATAAGGTTTTGGCTCTTGAGTGTATATGTGATTTCCTTTTTCGTGAATAAAGTAAAAAGGGAGGGGGTTAAATTTGCTTTGTAAAATACCTTAATAATCATTTTAGAAAGGTTTCTTACATATTTTACATATTGTCTTAAATTTTGAATGTGCATGTTTAGAATATTCACTGTACTCCATACTCTTTGTACTCATAGAATGTTTTATATTATTTGAATGCATATAACAAGAAATGTGTTCTGATTTGTAAATATCGGTTATGATTGAAAAAGTTTTGGAAGTTATATTGATAATTTTTGTAAAACATAATAAATCATCGTATTTTAATTCCTTTCTTTTTGATTTTAAGGGAAAGCAAGTTAATTTTCAAATCATTCTTGACAACAGCCTGCAATGCAATCATTTCTCTAATGTAATATGATCATTTCTTTTTAGCAGGCATTAACTAAACCTTTTTGTACGGGTTATCAGTTTCTGCTTTGTGCGATATTCAGAATTTTTCATTGATGCCACTTCTTATACTCACTCACGAAGTGCTGATATGTACATATCATCTATTACCTTTTGTGCAATGACTGATCATGTTGTTTATCCTTATAACACATAGATCATAAGAATGATTTCTAGATTATTAAAGTAACCAGAATATTTTAGACAATAAATACGAATATGAAAAATTAATCAGATTTCATGACTGAATAAAATGCCATTTTTTTTGTTACACATTATAAATTGAGCAGCTTTTATATTTTGTTTATACTGTTTTGCATTTACTTATTGTTGATTAAAACATTGCATTGCTTTAATTACTTTATATATATTTGTAATGTTGCTTTCGTAGGTATTATTACTGCTATAACGTGGCCAGCAGCTCTAATCACTGTTGCTGGAGTTATTGACAATCCATGGGGTGTATGCATTAGAAGATCTGCTGAAGTAGGACGCCATCTTGCTGATGTGTTACTTGCAAGACAGCAGGTTTGCTTTATTTATTTTTTTTTTTAAAATTAGATGTGGAACATCACGTTTGGAGTGTATCTTGTAAAAAATTTCTTACCAATGATTTTGAAATTAAATATGTTCGTCTTGTTTCATCTGTTTCAAACTTTTTACTGTTTTAGTTGAATATTGAATTGCATAAGCATGTTAAATTAAATGCAGTTGAATATTAGTTTTTTGTTTAATGCATAAAATAATAAAAGTCTTTTTCAATTAATTTTATTAAAATAATTCTAAATGAATTTATAATTTTTTTAATTCAACTGTATATGAGAGCACATATACAGTACAAAGTCCATAATCCAAACTTGTCGGGACTTCGGCGATTCCGGATTATAGATCATCAATTTAAATCTGGTAAGATGGCATGCAGAAATTATACAATTAAAAATATGAAACCGTAATTTAGGAAATAAAGAGCAATTATCACTAAAGGGCATCAATTATTCTAAAGGTAATCAAACACACACACACCAAAAAGCTTATATTTTTGTTTCTTTATTAAATGTTTCTTTCATTTAATTTTTAAGTTGCTTCGTTTTTTTTTGCTAATAATTTTAATTCTTAAACCAGACAAAATTTCTTGTTCTGTTACAAAGTTCCACTGTTCAAGTCCTGTAATTGCTGTGCCGAGAATACCGACTAACTCGTCAATCGAAATTTTTTTGTTTTCAATAACCTCTCTGCTACTTTCGGAAGTGGTATTTTCTGGATTTAGAACCATACTGCAGATTTCGCGTCTGTTAATTGATTGGGCGATTTTATTGTGGAGGCTCCTTATAGGCAGCCTGCTGCTTCATATAAAGGGATAGACAATTACAATCTTGACTTCTTCGGCATTTGAACCCGGACTCTTAGACACCACAACAGGCTCACCTAACCACTACAGCATATGGGCGGCATGTGATTTATATGTGAAGGGATAGACAGTTTTACCCCATTGCATTCGAACATTGCACCCCGGCATTCGAACCCAGACTCTGTAATCACAACAGGCTCACCTAACCACTATAGTGTATGGGCGGCATATGATTTTTATAGCTCAGCACTTAATCACAGTTTTTACTTTGGTTTTGCAAAATTTAGCCCTAAAATTTCTTCATTTGTTGATTTGGATTTCCTTGAAGCTTTTATGATTAACAATTTGTCTTATTTACTTAATGATATTAATTCTAATTCAGTTCTTTCTAATGCTTTTAGAATTCTTAGTCCTTCATGTTTTCATTGCTGTTTTCCTTAGCAGATGGTGCTCATTTTTGCTTTGCTCTGCCTACTAATTTTAATACAAAATGTTTGTTACTTCTTCCATTTTTGGGGGGGGGGAAACTTTTGAAAAAGAAGGACCCACGTCTAAACACCCTCAACCTAGATAAGAGCTTTTTTCAGAATCTACTCCAAACTTAAGTTGCTCTTTTGTTTAATTTAAAAAAGAGTATAGAGTTATTTATTGCCACTAGTTTTGAGTAATCTTATTGTGGAAGACGTTTCATAGAATGTAGCTAGGGTTATCACAGTGACTGAATTATATCATATATTTCTGTATGCACATTTGAAGCCTAACTGTAAAGTTCTACATAGCTTGTAATCATAAATTAGTCAAGGATCTTTGGGTTTTATGGGAAGAATTTTGTTTCTCTGTGTTTTCAAAGGAAGAAATCATAAATTGCGCAGTCTGGTAAGCATATCAGCGATGGGATGTCACTTCATGTTGCTCTAAGACAATGTGTATGCTTTATATAACATCACAGCTAGCATCCTCAGCTTCACTGAACATTATTACAACAGTTCTGCATTGGCAGTGACAAATGACACATTGCATAGCTTATTTTTGTGCAGTAAAAGTATATATTGTTTCCATTTCATGTTTAAAAACCTTCTGAGTTCTGTACTGATCATGTATGCCCACGTCTCAGTTTTTAATTGTTTAACCCTTTGCGGTGCACTATACGTTAACGTCGGAATTTCAACAAAAAAAGTTGTATGCAGTCTATTTAGTCCTAAAGGAGTATACGTGTAAAATTTTGTAAAAATTGCACTTACCGTTTTAATTCTGTGGGTGTTCATGAGGTGGAACACTGCGCGCGCGCTTTTAAAAGTGCGACTAAGCAAGCAAGCAGTGAAGCAGAAAATGAGAAGAATGAAGAAACTCTGTATTAGGCTGTATACAGGTTTCCTGGTCTACACAATATTCTTGATATACGGATAAATGAGATAAATATCTATACAAAAATATTTACAAATTTTCCTATTTCTAGCTTCGTGAATTGTTCAAAGCAGTCACACCATTTTTTATGGAAGCACAAACCAACTTTGCAGTTTTGCCATAAAACTTGTTTTGTGCAGCTTCTGCTTCGTGCTACAATGTGCACATCGTGTACGCGTACTCTTCACCGGTATGTGTTCAACACTACTGTAACGTTTTTCCTCGAAAACCTTTACTTTATGCCTAGGAGTATCTTCAGGTCTTGAAGGAAATCACCTCTTCAAAGTTACCTCTGACACTTTCATGGCACAGAGGGAATACAGCAAATTTAAACGGAAATCTTTGGGCTGTAATCCATGGAGGTAGGAAAGGAAGGAGGGGCCAGTCAGCACTAGAAGTGAAGCACTACTTTGAAGCTTGGTCACCAGATGAGGTGTTCTTTGTTTACATTCAGAAGCTCGCTTGAACGGTTCTGATAGTATTCGACACACGACAGTCCATACAAATTGAAAAGGGACACTTCGCATGAAAGAAATTCATAGTGGGATGGATTTTATATTTAATACCCAAAATTCTTGGTTATTTTCGCTAACTAACAAAGCGCGATTTGATAATTTGTTTTAAAATTTAAGTAAACTACAAAAATATAGCTTTTAAGAAAAATGTTATGCTTAAAGAATGAAAATACCTACGGTACATTTAAAATTGTATGTCTTTGAAACCCTTGATAGAGTATTCCGCTACTTTTATTTTATTTTCCAACGCCAAATTTTTTAAATAAAACAATTTTTTTCACATCCATATATTATTGTTGCATATTGTTGCAAAATCATGTATCTGCTTTGACAAAAATGCATAAATATCATTAATTATTTATAAATGTATTTGAAATGAAGAATTATTCAATTAAACAACTGTGAAGAAATATGTGAATTATTAAATATCTAATTTATAATGATTTAAAGTTATCTAAATATATAATAACCTAATATTGAATTTTAAAAAAATTGAAATCCCGTTGAAAATACGTTAAAAAATTTAAGCAGAATTGTTCGTAGCAGGCATCTGTAAAAGTATTGTAAAGCAAATGCTATGAGATGCGCACTTAAGAACGTAATAAAGATTTTGGAATATGTATTGTTGAAATGAAGGGTAAAAAAAAAAAATCTGATAAGTATAAAATAATTATTCCCCTACATTTATAATAATCGTTAAGTTTTAAATAATACTTTTATTCCCTTTCAGAAATGGTATAGAAAGTCAAGTTTTTAATTTAAAAACGAAGCCGAAAGAGCATTAATTATAATTGACTTACATTTTCGATTTAAAGATGCCTCAGAAGCCAAAAATATGCATAATTTTATAAATACAATAAACTTTGATCTTAATTTTTACCTTAACCGAAAAAAATCGAATTACCTTAATTTTTTTAATGTAATAACGAAAACTTGTGAAATATTTCATTCAAATTAAACCATTCTGAGAAACGTCCTTTGAAAAATATACATTTAATTCGTTCAGAACGAAATTGTTTAAAAATATGTTTTCCTATATTAGGACCTTAAGGTTTTTAGAAAAGAAATACATTTATATGTATATTTACGAACAATGCAAAATATTTCATCCGACCGCGTCAAATCCATGAACTCAATGGTAAATGACCCAATGGTTTTGGTCACCACGTAGGGATCGCTGGTGCTTCAGAGCAGTAGGGAAAAACTTGTTTAGGCAACTCCATCTTACTTCTACCTCCAGCTGTAATCCGAGGGTAATATGAACCTTTAGTGCTTCGGAAAGTTGGCTTCTCCACGCCCTCTGGAAACTTAATATACAAAAATTAACTATGATTAATGAACATAAAGAAAAAGCTATATATATACATCATGAAAATAGCTAACAATTATTGAAAATAACGGGAATGAACAAAAAAGACAGCAAAAAATGCACAGTCTAAGTAAAGATGAGTCAAGCTACTAATAAAATTCCCCCTAAAAATACTAAAAAATTTGAGATGCCAATATTAGGCGCTTTCAAACACACACACAACCTCACTCACCCCTCAATAAGCTTGTTGAATCATCCCCCTCACAAAACAAGGAAACAGACACGAAAACAACGGATGTTCTCTCCTAGCACAGATTTCTGATTTTAACGCATAAGATCGTAAAGGTGCAGTGTTCCTCTAATGGACCCTGGTTTTTTCAATGATTCTGCGTATGTTTTGTATGAAAGATTAAAAAAAATAACAAATAATTGGAGTACACCAGCAATTTGCCTAATTTTTTTTCCCAAATAAAAATTTTTATATCATTAAAAAAATAGAAGACAATACTTGAAAAAGTGGATTTTAATAACACATAATAAATGAAAATTCTATGTCTCCTTGTGATATGCTTGTATCTACTGTTTTTAATAAGAAAGTTCAAAGTATATTATAAAGGCATTTTTATCTATTTATGGCTGAATTTTAAAGGTTTCAGAAGCAATTCAATTTGGGTGTTCCATGTAGTGGAAAACTGAGCCACAAAGGGTTAAACAGTATATTCATTTTAAAGCACATTACTGTTCTTCAATTTTGATCAAATCTTGTTTCTCCTCCTATATTTTTAATTTAGTATTTATCTATTGAGTATATAAATGAGATATGCCTATATGAGTTTTTTTTCAATTCCTTCTTTAAGTATTACTTCACATTACTCTCTATAATAAATGATATACTAAAACTATATATTATAACTTCTAAGATTAAATAATTATATTCTGAAGTTTGTTTCAAGCAAAATGCAGCAGTTAAGCAGCTGCTTGATATTTTAGATAATTTTTGAATTTTGATTTTTAAAAAGTATGTTACATTTATGGCTTTAGTTTTTTTATAACATACTATAAAAAAAGAATAAAAATTGCATGATTTTTTAATGTTATTCTGCCATGATCATAATACACTTTGATTGGAGTGAATAGATTCTCTTGGAATAAAATGTGATATCTTGACTATTAAATCACTCAGCATTGTTGCCGTGAAGCATTATGGACAAAAAATTAAATTTTTTAGGTTTTAAATAGAAAACAATTGCTAGGGGTTAGGTCTAAACTAATGAAACAGCCTTTTCCATGCAATGTTATATGTAAGTTGTTATCATGAAGCAGTAATCAGTTGAAATAACCTCGGTTAAACATTTGTAATGATTTCATACAGTGAGAACATCATCCTGTAATGATTTCATACAGTGAGAACAGGATTTTTTCAGTAATTTAACACTTCAATGAGTAAAATACCATCCGTATCTCAAACAGTTACTGCCATGATCTTTTGAGCCTATCTTTGCACACAAAACTTCTTAAGAGTTCACAGCCCTTCATATTCCTGTTGCACTGATTTTTGTTTGTGTCCGAGTTATGGTGATAGACCTGTGTCTTATCATCAGTCACAATTCTTGTGAAATAACATCTGAATTTACTGCAGATAATACCAAAATCTCTTTCCAGGCATTGCAGTGAAACCTAACATTCAGTGTATCCCATCAAAATATCAAATGCTCATGTATATGCGAAGAAACTATATTTGCTTAAATGCCTATTTCATGCGTAGTCACATGCACACTTTTACATGACAATTTTCTGCAGTTTTATATTCTACCTTTTTATGCATTTTCATTGAAGTAACCTCCAATGAATGTCCCCAGTAATGATCTTCTGTGCCTCCCCCAAATTACTTAGCCCGGTACTCTATTTGGTAATATGAAAATATGAATATTCTTGGTCTCTATATATGATAACCTACCTTTTGTGAATTTTGTTTAGTTTTTACCCTTTCTTTGTAGGAAATTTTATCACTGAAAGCATTTTCAAATTCTCCATTTTTGTTATAAATGCATATTTATTTTAATTAGCTGTCATGGTGCTTGTTAAACATTGATCCAAAAATGTGACTAATTGGATGCTTGGGCATGGATAAGCTTGTAGGCTCAAGGATAGGCAGAACATATAGAAAATTCATTCTCAGGTATATAATTCAGGTATTGAATGCCTGCAAACACAGGCGCGTAGCCAGGGGAGGGTGCCTGGGCGCCCGGACACTCTCCCACTTCACCACTACCTATACATAAAAAAAAGCGGTAATTAATTTTCAATAGACAAGACTTAAGTTTTTAAAATATTGCTTTCAAGCTTCCCAAAATATTCATGTCATTAACAAAAAATGAACAGAAAGTCTACGATTTCCCATTTAGAAGTAAGATCAGGAAAAGTCATCCTTTTTCAGCTAACAAGCGGTGGAAAAATACTTCGAAGGTGAGGGGACACTTTCAAGTTGTAAAGCTTTTGTTCTATTACAGCTTTGAATAGCCCTCCGTATCTGGTCCCACTTTCCCTCTAACTATCAAGCTTAATGTCACTAAAAAAGAAAAAGCCCTTTCATTTCGGACCAAGCATCTAAAAACATAGTGTTTAAAAAAAAAAAAAAAAAAAAAAAAAAAAAAACCAGTATTTCAAAAAAAAAAAATAAGTTGGGGTATTTAATTTTGAGATTTGCTACTTATTATCTACATATTGCACAAAAGAGGGAAGTAAACATAGTAAAATAATTTTGAATGATTGTTTTTACATTAATTTCAAATTTCAGTTAAGTAAAAAAATATAACAAAAATATTAAGTTTTTTTTTTTTTTTTTTTATAATGTAGAGAGCATGCAACTTCGATGCTTTCAAATGCAATGAATTTTATTTTCTTAGTCATCTAGCAATTTAAATTATTATCATTTAAAATGATCTAATAGGGTAGTTGTTAAATACACAGATAAAAAATTCATTCACTGTCAAGTAATTTATTTTATTTTATTATTAGCCCAAAAGGGCAAATTGCCCAGAAGGGCTATTAATTTCGTTCTGGATTTTTGTGGTGTTTCACTTGCTCAATATAGGCATCTGGAAGCTCAAATTTGGAGTTTAGAACTTACTTTATTATCTATTTCATATTTTGTAAAACCTTAACGAAATTTTGATTGACAAACTCATCAATTTCAAAATGAGTAATGGCAACACTGTACGAAAACAAAAACATATTTATCTCCAGCGCATGAGACTGTATCGGAAATTCTACAGATGTGCTCTTTTTAGTTTATTTTGTGGTATTGCTGTTGAATTGAATTTGATGGTTTAAATGCGAAGAACATGAGATTTAAAGTAACACTCCAAACGTTAAAAAACACCCCTTTGAGCGTAATATAAAATCTAAAAGCTTTCAGATTTATTTATTTATTTATTGTGTGTTCTTCTGTATTTGGGAACAAATAATCAGATAAATACCGATTAAAAGAAGTATAAATTAAGAGATTTTAAATATAATGAAAAAAAGCACATAACCTAGTATTAGTGGGCAGAATGTATAAGATTGATGAACGATGCTAGTTCGACATAGGTTAGAATATCCGGTAACCAGTTGAACAAGCGTTTATAGTTTTCCTTGCGTATAAGGTAAACAGACAAGTTTCCCTTTGAAAGTCCTCCACGAATGGGATGGCATCCCTTCCCATAGACAGATAACTTTTGTTTGCTTTTCCGTACCGATTTAAACAAGCAGTAGGAATAATTTGCTTGTATGAAAAAATCTTAATATAGTTATACTTAAATTTATTGTATCTTTTTTTTTTCTTCATCTGAATGCATAGTTGTATGCTTTTTCTTGCAGGGTAAAAGGCCGGTAACTTTGATTGGTTTTAGCCTTGGTGCAAGAGTTATATTTTACTGTTTGCAAGAAATGGCTAAAAGAAAAGGTATAGTTTTTCGCTTTAATTCCTGTTGTATATTATAAATATACAGATGAAATAATAATAAATTTGGAATAGTTTATTCTTAATAAATAAGCATATTATATGCATATGCATAAAATGCATATTTTTCATTGATATATTTTTGAAGCATTGATTCATAGATATATCTGCAAAATATTTGAATAATTTAAGGGAGTTTTAGGCTGGCTAAAGCCAAGTATGAGTTTTCTGTCTGGCAGTTAAATGATTTGACTGCATGATATTTTTGAGAAATTTTGATAATTAAATATGGACCAATTTCCTGTAAGAAATGCTCCCTGAATCCATCTCTTCCCATGGCAGATTATCCTAATATGGTTTACTATAATCAAATAATCTAGTCGTATTTGAGTAACTTTCTGCATGATCTGAGTTAATAGTCCAGCATCCTGATGATAAAAACTGCTTCCTTGAAGCTTTGAAATGTCATACAGTTCAAAAAGTAAAATGTAGGTGTAAGTAGTTTATTATGCATGAACCAATTCTCACTCACCAACAAATAACAAGCTTTTCCTTAAATGTGGTCTGTTTTGAAGCATCTGTAAACAGTTTTCTCAAAAAAACAAAACTCCATTTTGTGATACCTAATTGGTGAGCAGAAAGTTTCAGCAAACTAATCACAGTGCAGTGAAATAAAGGGATATTAATTTGAAAAATCATAGCTCATTCAAGAGCTTTCATTGTTTGTAAATTCTTGTATTATGTTTAACAGAGTTTCTTCATTTGTGGATCCCAAGATATGAATGAAATTTGAGCCACAGTAGAACTTGAATTACCAAGTTGCATGGATAACTTTTTTAAGTCAGTTTAAATTAAGCCTATTTTTAAATTATTTATCTGTTTTTCTTACTTTTTATTGACTTTAATAATATAAGAAGCTGAAACAGTAGTTATATATTTTTTTTTTTTTAATAATTTAGTGTTAAGGGCTTAAGTGTATAATGCAATTTTATTGGCTTACGTATCCAGAAACGTCGTTCTCCAGTTTTCCAATGGGCATCGAGCTCCACTGCGTGTCATCTGGCATATATTAGCCAATGAGCACAAAGCAAGCTCAAGGCCGTTGCAAAGAAGATTCTTTGGCCGTTGGGCCATTATTGGGATGTTCTTTCGTTATTTCGTTCATCTTGTCCTGAGTTGTGTGAGTACACGTGCCTTTAGGAAATTGTTTTAGAAATTATCGTCTTTTGTTATGTCTGCGAGAAAGGTGAAATACTCGTGCACGTTTCAAAAATCGTACACAGTTGACTTTCCTTCCATTATTCTTCAAGGAAATGTAATAAATTTGCGATGTGTACCATCTGTCGTTGCGATTTTTTTTTCGCATGGTGGAAAGGCAGATGTTCTCAAACATATGCGTACACAAAAACACAAGGAACAACATGAGTTGTTTTGAAAAAAAACGAAAAAAAAGAAGAATTAAATTTTTCTTCGGAAACAAAAGACCAAAAAGTGATTAAGCAGAATGTCTGTTCTCTGCCTTTTTTTTTACTGGAGCACAACCTTGCCACTGAATGCATCAGGATCATGCTGCAGCTTTATTTAGAAAAATGTTTCCCGATAGTGAAATCGCTAAGAAATACTCAAGTGCAAGGACCAAAACAGGTGCAACTGTTAAAGAAATGGGTTTGAAAAATAAATCTTCAGTTATTGATTGCATTAAACAGCTCCGTTCTGCCTCTCTACGGATGGAAGCAATAATACCGATTCAAAACTGTATCCAATTGTTGTTTCTTTTTTTAATCCAGAGTCTTCAGAAATTGAGTGCAGTTTAATTTCTGTCCCCACTTTAGAAGGACATTCGACAGGTTTTAATATAGCACAGCTAATTATTAAAACTTTAAAAGAAAATGCAGTCCCTCTGGATAATTGCTTAGCACTTGGTGCCGATAATGCACCAGTAATGGTAGGCTTGAAGACTGGTGTTGCAGGCATCTTAAGAAAGGCAAATTCAGATTTGCAGATAATGAGGTGCACCTATCACCTCTTAAATTTAGCAGCTGGAAAAGGGGCAGCTTCTTTACCATTAAATGTGGATGAACACATTGTTGATATTTATTATTATCTTGAAAGAAGTTCTAAAAGAAAGGAAAAATTGAAACAGTTCCAACAGCTGCATTATACTGAAATGAGAAAAATTTTGAAACGTGTGTACACGCTGGCTGTCTTTAAAGAAATGCTTATCTAGAATCCTCGATCAATGGAACCCACTTCTTGCATTTTTAAAGAAGAAGTAAATGCTTCGAGAGTTAAGATAAAAGGCTCTATTGAAAGTTATAAAGTACCTAAAGTAAATGGAGATGTAGTTACTACTTCCATTGTTAAAAATAGGTTTGAGAAAAATAAAGTAATTTCTGCATCATTCAGCAATTCAACTGGCAGATCTCAAAATAATACTGCAAAATATAACCGTAAACTGATACAAATTTCTCTCAAAATAAAAAAAAATTGCTCAACACACGAAACATTTTCTGATCGCGGTAAGTTTGTCTTGTGAAGAACAAATATTTAAGTTTTTTTCTTCGGACCTTAACAAAGCTTTTTTTTTTTTTCCCCAGTTCATTTTGCCATCATTTGATGTTTTTAATACAGTTCTACAAAGCAGAATTCTATTAATTGATGTTTTTCAATCAATGATTTATGATCTATGTAAGACATTTTATCAAAGTTTGTAAAACCAGTCTGTGTTTTGTCTTGTAATTCTACAAATGATGTGATTTATGATGAAATAGAAAATCAGAAGAAAGATGAAGATTTGGTAATAGGAGCTGCAACTACAAAAGTACTGGAAGAACTTTCAGAAGAAGACAAAAATAAGTTTTATCTTCATGTTAGAAGTTACTTCTGTTGAGTATGTGATTATATACTACATAAATTCCCAGTCAACGATGAACTGATTTTGCATGCTAAAGTTGCTGATGTTTCTGCTCTAGCAAATGCATCTATTTCTGATATAAGGTACTTTTGAACAGATTTCCTGTGTACTACTTCGTTTAGTCATGAAAGACGACGATATTGATGTTGCTACTGATATACTGCAGTCGCAATTTGAGTTTACAATTAGAAAACTTGGATGAAGTTATAAAATCAGCTAGGATTGACACCAGTGGAGTTTAAATGGAAAATTGAAAGGGTGCTGATGGAATTTTAAAATATAGTGAACTCTCTAGAATTATGTTGGCCATCTTGACAGTTCTCTATAGTAATGCGGAGTGTGTGTTGTGGAGAGGATTTCAGTGTTGTTGCGAAAACGAGGACTAAATTTAGATCTAATATTAGTGATGACACATTAGAAAAACTTTTATTAGCGAAAGCAGGCCTACGTGGCAATTGCTATGAACAAAATTATGAAGTTTCTTTCTTAACGAAAGCAAAATCTGCCACTGTCCATAACATTTGTATGAAAACTGATTAAAGTGTCTTTTTTTTTTTTTTTTTTTTTTTTTTTTAAAGATGCAAGTAATAAAAATGTTTTTTATGTCTAAGGTATTTTTGTTTTGCTTGCATTTAAGACTTAATAACTATTTAAAGTTAATTCATCATTCATTTAAAAAGTATTTTTAACATTGTGAAAAATCTCCTGATTTCTTAAAAAAATCTCCTGATTTTTGAGTGTCATAGGTTGGCAAGTATGCAATAAAAATATGTTAAAATTATTGCATCAAAAACAGTTTAATTTATTGTAAACTTTGAGCCTGTTATGCATATTTATCTCGTGCAATTCTGTAACGTGTTACTATACATAATTTGGCTAGTATGTAATTTATAATGGAAACATGGACTGGTATCTCTCTCAATATGAGCAAGAAACTTTTGATTTTTAATTTTGATTTTCCCATAAACCTGATTTATTTATAAGGTATTTCACCTGATTTTCTTTTATTTCTAAAATTTTTCATGATTTTTATGCAAGTTGACCAAATTTATTTATTTATTCTGAGAAATATGGTCTCTTCTAAAAACCTTTTATCAGTTGTGGGTTATCACTGTGCATGTCAAGGGAGGTATGTTTGAAAACATGATATTTCAAGTCTCCAAAGATCATCAAATACAAATGTTTATCAGTTACTGAGTGTAAAGTAAGATCAGGATGTTGTTCGTTCCTTTTCTGTGGTCATTTAGATAGATGGTGAGTATTAAATGATGCAAGTTTCATGTGTTTTGAGAAATTAATAAGGGCTTGCAGTCTTAGTTATATTTATGAATGGAAACTTTGGTTGTTTCCTTTTCAAAAATCATATACAGATGACTTTTTATTTTGTTGAAGAAATTTAGTATGTTAATGATGTGTACTGTTTGTCTTAGTGATTTTTCGATTTCATATAGTAGAAGGGCCATTGTTTTTAAAGATATAAAAAAAAAAATATGGCGTTAATTTTATGGAGGAACAAAAAATTAAATTTTTATGCTGAAACAAAAGGTAAAATAGTTATTAACATTGAAGGCCTATTCTGTGCATTTTTTTTTTTTTTTTTTTTTTTTTGTAATTGGAAAACAATATACCATTTATTGCCTTTCATCATGCTGCAGCTTTATTTGGAAAAATATTTCCCGACAGCAAAATCACTCAAAAGTACTCGTATGCAAGAACAAAAATGATTACAATTGTTATGAAAATTGGTATAAAAAAGAAATCTTGCTTAATTGATTACATTAAAACAGCCCCATTCTGCCTTTCTATGAAAAGAAACAATAATATAGATACAAAGTTGTATACAGTTGTTGTTTCCTTTAAAAAAAAAAAGAAGAAGAAATGGAGTTAGTGTCCTTGTTTTTGAAGGAGATTTAACATACTTTAATATAGCACAGCTGATAAAACGTCAAATAAAAATGTACTTCCTCTAGATAACTGTTTAATTCTTAGTGTTTACAGTTTCTTAAGGAAAAAAATAATAAATTTAAGATTTGTAGATTATAGGGTGTACTTGTCACCTTTAAAAGTAAGCTGCTGAAAAAGGTCCAGCTTTTTTACCAAAAAAATAAAAATGAGTTAGATATTGATATTTATTACTGTCTTGAAAAGGTAATGCAGGTTGTTTTTAGAGAAATGCATATCTAGAATCTTTGATTAGTAGACTTAGGATCTGATGTTTTTTAAGGAAGAAGTAAATGCTTCTGGAAAGGCTCTGACTAAAAGGCTCTGATGAAAGTTATTTACTGAATTTTCTCCTCCTTTATTGTTTGGTTTTGTAGCATGGCTCTCTGGTAGTTATTAGATCCAGAATCTGAAACTCTTCAAGGGCATTGCTGACTTCTCATGTTTTCTGCTGCAGAATAAACTTAATGACTAAGTAGAGGCCGAACTGAAAAGAGAGTGTACGATAATTCATCCTACTAGGATTTGGGGACTGGATCTCCACACCAGTACCATTTAAGTGGCGAACAATGTAAGGAATTTTTGTCCTTCTGCACTGCTTGTTTTTGTGGTGTAATTAGAAGCACATCAGGCTAGCACTGGTAAAACTCATAATTTAAATTACAGTGAGAGTATTGCTGGTTTGACTTGTTCCCTGCTCTGAAGTGCACTCTGGTAACATATAAGGTTAGATCATTTAAAATAGGCAAAGCGCATAAAGACTATACCTCCCTATTTCAACCAATGGATCTCCAGGGGCTGACGTCCAAGAAACCATTACTGCTAATTACTGTCCAGTAGAGGTAAAATACAAGAACATTCAACTAAAAGCTAAATTAAATTCATAACGAATGAATCTCAATATGAAATTATAAACTTCTAAAACAGCATTTTTGACTGCAGCCTCATTACACAAAAGTTTTCTTTAGAGGAGTATACAGCATTTAATAATAGAATAGAGGAGTATGGTGGATAAGCAAGACTTTAGTCTTTTAATTAACTAAGCTCCTAGACAGCCATAATATGAAGATATATTCACATTATTCAAAGAGAGTAAACATGCCTTCGTGGAGGACTTTCTAAGGGAAACTGGCTCGTATACACATTACATATGGGGAAAACCACGAAAATGCCCATGCAGCCAGCCCGTTCACAGCATTTGAACCTCGGACCGAACTACCAGTGTTCAGCGACTTTACGCTCGGCTGCTGGTGGGCTCACTTAAGGAATGCTGTTTTCCTAACTGTGTCTAATAAAAAGAAAAATAATTGTTAGTGATGATAAGGGGGAAAAATAAGAGAAATAGATGCTGGTATTTTGACTAGACTCTAATCGCATAAAAAAGGGAAGAGTGGGATTCTGAATAATTTACCGTACTCAGCAATAAAAATGAAAGATTGTTTCTTTGGGTGATATGGGTATGTAAATTGTATTTCTTTGGAACTGTTTCTGATGGGTGAATTTTCTACTGGGTAGAAGGCACTAGCACTAATTTTTTGGCTAATTTGTTTGGTTCCTTAAAAAATTTCTCCATTGCTGAAAATTTATTGAAAAAATATGGTAATTTCTTTGCCTTAAAGATAAACTTGATAGATTTCAAGAGATGACATGGCCAGCTGTAAAAATTTAAGGTGGTATGAATTTCTGAAAAGCTTGTGGAGCTGTCATTACTGATTAGTACTGGCAGGAGAAGCTGTTGAATCTGCTGAGACAATTAGAATGAACCTTTCAAAAATGGATAAGCATGATGGGATACTGTTGATACTGAAATGCCTCATATGGGGACTTTTTTGCAATCCATATGGGACCATAAAATCAAGACAATCCTTAAATTTTAAAGACTTTAAAAAATTGCAAATCAGTGTAGTATAAATTAAGTAACATTATATATTTGAGGAAGATTAATTTCATGAATGAATTTGCTTTTCAGTTTTTATTGGAATTTTCTCTTTAATATTTAATTAAATTTTATTTTTGACATTCTAGGTTCTGAAGGTATTATTGAAGATGCTATCTTATTAGGTGCTCCAGTATCTGCCCATGTGCAAAGTTGGAAAGATTTTTCAAAAGTTGTAAATGGTAAAATTGTTAATGGATATTGCAGGTATGTTGATTTTCAAGGTTTTTCTGCTGTTTTATTAATATACTGTAACTAATTACAAATTGTATTGTTTATTATCCAAGTGTGATGTAACAATCAAAATCTATTAAGATGAGGCACAAATAATGCATTGAAAGGAAGTTCAGCAATTTTAAATTTCAGAATTGAATAAAATATTTTTCCTTTCTGAGAAAGAGGAGCTATGTAAGAATCGTGTTGAAGATAACACAGAGTTTTTCTGTTAAACTGATATCAATTTCAAAGTGGAATTTTGCCTTCTAATTTTAAGTGTACAAGTGCATGTAAAAGTGTAATGCTAGTAATTAACCCCTTCGCGCCGGGTAGCGCAAATGTGTGCATATCATGGAGGCCGGCAGTGTCTTACGCGAGCATCTGTCCAGGGCCTGGGGCTTTTTTGCTATTAAGCCTAAATCCATGAAATTTCCAAAGTATCAACGCATTGTTTAATAATGCTCTATAGAGTATTTAAAAGCTTATGCTTTATAGATTTTTTTATATATACTTTAATTACCTTATTTCTTGTTAAATGCTATTTTACACATTTATTTTCATTACTCACCATTTTATGACTTTTAACATTATACATCTGAAAACTAAATATATTACTTAAATTCTCTTTCGTATAAAAATTTGAAACAAGGATTCTACACACAGTCCTACGTTACATTCCTTGCACTTGTAATAACTCATTTGCCGTTGGAGGATTTTTCCGGGAATGTGAACAAACTAAGCATCGTCGTCTCATTTTCTTATCAATCTCTTCTGAACAAAGTTTTGGAAAATATCTTTCAGTTAATCTTTCAGAATCAATATCTGAAATATTTTGCATCATTTCTGCTATTTCATGCTCTGTTAAACATTTTCGACGCTTCGACATTGCAATGGTAAAAACAGAAAGAATTCACGTCACAAGATCTAATTATTTTCTAAAAACCGAACTGCAAACCGAAATACCCAACGCTCTAGCGAACATAAAACTTCTCTACTTGCAATAAACAACTACCACGTGCGAATTTAAAGAGACATCATAAATCACGCCATTCGGAATGTTTCCGAATGGCGTGATTTATTTTTCCCCTTTTGTTTATATAATCAAGAACATGTGTATGTGAGTTATGCTTCTCTCATTTCGAGTAGAAGGTTAATGTTCATGTATCTGAAACCATATGGACATACAGTGCCATCTTGTGGCAGAAATTATAGTTTTTAAAATGTTCCAGGACACTGTCATAAATACGTTACAGTCGGAGCTGAACGGGAAAATGCGCTGGTACGCCTGCGTGTTGGCCGGGAAGTGAGTGTGTTCATTGCTGGCACGTAGACGTGACAGTCGGCGCGAAGGGGTTAAATACTATTCTTTTAGCAGTAGTGTAGAAGGAAATATCAGATTTGAGACATAAAATATAATATTTTATTTCAAATATTTTTAAAAAGAGATCTGTTATAAAACCATGACTAGCTATTAAATCCATTTGTATCCATTTCATATTAGTATTAGCTATTCACCAATACATTTATGTGTTAAGATAGAGTTGAATACACAATTCTTTCTGTACTTCCAGCTTTTGTCATAAAATTATTAGATTCAAAAATATATTAAAATATTAAAGGTCAATTGATCAATAAATTATTGTGTTCAGTTTTTTTTTTTTTTTTTTGTCAGTTTGTAACGTTGGTATTTTTGACTTACAAGTAATAATATATGGGTTACTTGATTTACTGCTGTTTAAACTGTAAGAGTATTTTTTTAGTGTTAACTGTCATAAACATATTCAGTATTAACTGTCATAAAGTATTATAAATTGTGTATTTTTGTCTTATTTTTGAGAAAAATGTGTTTTCATTAAATATGGTAATGCATAATGTAAGTTCTATTAAAATTACAAAATATATAAATTCTAATATCTTATATTTTCAGTGGAGATTGGTTACTGAAATTTTTATATCGTACATCTTCTGCAACAATGAAAATTGCTGGATTGCAGCCAATTAAATGGGATGACAGAAGAATGTGCAATGTTGATTTGAGCAGTGTGGTATGTTCTAAAAATTACGTTTAAATTAAACAACTTGTTTTAAGCTAGCTTGGAGTTGATTAAAGGCATGCTGTGTTAGTTCAGATCTAGTTCCCCACCATAAAATAAAGATTTTGTTATAAAATAAATCGCAAGAAATTTTGGTACTTTCTTATTACTCATTTTTTATTATTTGGTACTCTCTTATTTAATGAAAAACACAAAATTGTTAACCTAGAAGAGCAATTTGTGAGCTTTTTGGCACTTTGGAGGTTTATCTTATTTATAAACTTTGGAGGTTTATAGGATATCCCTTGCAGGATTTAAAATTCTTTGCCAAGTCAAAGGCAAGAACCCCTAGATGCTATGAAAATCATGTTTACCCTATGTAGATTGTAGTCTGTGAAGCAATAGAGGATTGTGCATTTTTTGGGGGAGTTCATTTCTTTGCTTGATAAAGTACCACATTTAATTTTTTAGAACTTTTGCTTTGTATTCATGAGTAGGTTAATTATTTGACACATATGCCTTCATCTCTAAGAGTAATTATGGTAACATGTAATGAAAATTCCTTTCTAGTCGTCATGTAATTTTGAACACAATTTAAAAAGGCATCAAAATTCATTTACTGGTAATTTTTTTTTTAAACTGGTTTTTATTACATATGTTACATCAGTGTTTATTATATAATTGAAGAAACGTTAAATAGGTAGAAATTTTGACAAATAAAACCAAATATTTAAATAATGGATAAAAGATTTATTGGTAAATTAACTATAAACTATCAGTTTTAAATGTTAAATTAATTATAAACTATCAATTTAAAAGTAGTTTTAATTTTTATATTGACTTCTCTGGAAGATGCTGTAAAGTAATTCATTTGCATTGTGAAGGCAAGTATAGCTCTGTAACTATTGACCATATACTACTTTTTTATATTTCAGTTATGAAGTTTATGAAAATTTTAAATTAGTCTTCTTGCATTTGAAATAGAATGACTGTGATCAATTATGAGTGAACTTATAACTTTTAAAACAAAAAGAGCGGTCTTTAACGCAGGAGTGTTACTAATTAAGTAAAGAACATTTACTGTTGGTCCATCGAGCCGGAGACGAACCAGCGACCTATGGATCAACAATAAATATGTTCTTAAACTTAATAGGTTTCACAAACAATAATCAATCAACAAATGGACTGTATTCCTACACTTTTATTAAATTACACTTGTCAGCGATGCGAAATAATTGATACAAAATAAGCGAGCCATTCTACATGGCTGTCACAAACACAATTCTATCAATCAATTATCTTGTTGCCATACATAAAGTTCAAAACTAAAAGAAGAAAAACAAAAGGAATTTACGCTGTTTGCAACAATAAAATGAAGCAAACGATACTCACATAAACATCCTGGCCCTCGTTGAAATCCCAGGGGATTTCAACAGTTGGAGCATTTTGAAACTTCTTAGTCTGTAATAAAGATAAACATAAGAAAAATAATACAAAATATTATATGCGAAGCAGTTCATAGTTTTTAGTCTGAATAGGAAGAGGACACAATTTCACGACTGGTCGTTTTATGACACCATGACCAGTTTTAATACTAGCAACTCTGACTCACAACACGAAGTGATGTGGGATATAATAGTTTTGATCTGAGCCCGGATGAACAGCAATTATTCTCCCTAACCTCCATTTAAGAGGCGGAAGGTTGTCTTCTTTGATGAGGACTAAGTCATTGACTTCTAAATTGTTTTGACATTTTTGCCATTTAGGTCTTTGTTGAAGCTGAGACAGGTATTCTCGACTCCATCTTTTCCAGAAGTGCTGAAAAATAAACTGTCTCACATGCCATCTGTCAATGTGATTGAAGGAACTATAATTTAGGTCTGGTTCAGGTATGGCAGTTAAAGACGTTCCTATTAGGAAATGACCAGGTGTTAATGCAGTTAAATCATTTGGATCAGCCGATGTTGGACACAATGGCCTAGAGTTGAGACAAGCCTCAACCTGCGCTATCAAGGTCTGAAAATTCCGGATAGGTCAGCACAGTATCACCAACAGTCCTTTTTAGATGTAATTTCATTGACTTTACTGCCGATTCCCATAGTCCACCAAAATGGGGAGATGATGGCGGGTTGAATATCCATTTTATTTCCTCTAAAGACAAAAATTTGTGAATTTCTTGATTTTGCTTACATTGCAAAAAACATTTTCTGATTTCTTTGTCTGCACCTTTAAAGTTAGTACCGCAGTCACTATAAATCTCAAATGGTTTCCCTCTTCTTGCAATAAATCGTTTCAATGCACTTAAAAATGCCTTTGTTGACAAATCTTCTACCACTTCAAGATGTACTGCCTTGATTACAAAACACACAAATAAGCATACGTAATATTTAAATGATTTTTGTCCACGTCCTGCACGATGTTTAATCATGAACGGTCCAGAAAAATCTATTCCAGTTCGATGAAATGGTCGCGATTGTGTTACTCTAGATTCCGGTAGATCAGCCATTATTTGACTTGCAGTTTTAGCTCTAAGTTTGCAACACGTGATACAAGATCTTACTACTTTTCGGATAGCAGATCTAGCAGCTATGATCCAAAATTGCTGTCTAATTAAAGATAGAAGAAGTTCCGGTGCTGCATGCAGATATTTGACATGAAAGTGTCTAATTATGATTTCTGTCAGATTGTGTTTTGAAGGTAATAAGATTGGATGTTTTTCATTTTCTGACAGTTGCGCATTTTTCAGTCTTCCTCCTACACGTAACACTTTGTTGTCATCTAAAATTGGACACAAGCTAAGGAGGTTGCTGTTTGTAGGTAAGTCCTTTCCCAACTCCAAACATTGAATTTCTTTAAAAAAGTGAAATCGCTGTATTATTCGGACAATACAGAAAGTTGCAGCTCGAATTTCATTACTAGATAAAAAAGACGTATTTCTTTCTAGATATGCTACTTTAGAATTCGATATGAATCTTAATATCCAAGCAAATATGCGTTGTAACTTTGGAAATGAAGATATATTTGATATAATAGCAAGTTCCTGTACAGGTTCAGAAACTACAAATGAGACTGTTTTACGTGCATCTGGTAATGCCTCTTCATCTATAAGAATATTTTTTAGACAAGGCAATCTCACTGCACTTTAACCAAGAAGGACCATTCCACCACAATTGATGAGATAATAGTTCTGCAGGAAATAATCCACGTGAAGCACAATCAGCTGGATTTTCCTTTCCATCAACATGACTCCAGTTCTCAGGTGGTAAGATGGATTGTATTTCAGAAACTCTATTGGATACGAATACTTGCCATTTTTTAGGATCTGACCTTAGCCATGACAACACGATTTGTGAATCACTCCAAGCTTGCACTAAATCAAAATTTATAACTAATGCAGCTTTTACAGACTGAATCAAGCGTGCCAATAACACTGCTGCACATAATTCCAGTCTTGGAATCGTAATAGATTTTAATGGTGCTACACGAGTTTTAGCTGTTACGAGTTTAACATTAATGTCAGAGTTATTGCAAGTTTTGATATAAATAACTGCTGCATAACCTCTTTCAGACGCATCACAAAATCTGTGAAGTTCACATCGAAAATAATCAGGTAGCAGAATTTTCCTAGGTATATTTATAGAATTCAAAAGTTTAACTTCTCTACATAGATTTCTCCAATTTCGATCAATCTCTTCTGTTACAGGATCATCCCATGATAACTGTAATTTCCACAATTGCTGAAGGATCATTTTAGCGAGAATTACAAACGGAGCTATCCACCCCAATGGATCGAATAGTTTGGGTGATTGGAAGATTTAAGGTACTGGGTTCTTTCTTGGTCATCGAATAAGTTAAGCCAGAAAGAAGAGAAAAAACCAACAGTAGCTAATAAGAAAATCTCATCGACATGCCCATGAATATCAATTACATCAAAACTTTACAAACAGAAAGAAGTTTTTTTACCTTTGCATAAACCTAGATCTCATGGGAAATGATGTTACATTCTGATTATCTGCTTAACCCTTCTAAAAAGTCGCTAATCATTGACAATTAATTTTTCGACAGTCTGAGACGTGAAAGACAACAGTCATTTTCAAAAATGGCAATGAACTAAGAATTTAACAAAACAGCAACCAGTTAAAAAAATTTTAAAAAATTAAAAAAAAGGGGGGCACCCATAATGAAACACTTACTTTTTTTTTCCAGCTTTTCTTCCCATGTGTACTGTAATTAATTTTAGCTTTAAAAAGCATTAGAGAATTACATAAACTTGGCATCACACACAACTTATAACTGTGCACATTGTTGTTTCCTCAATCGGTTCCTGTGTTAAAAAAATCAGAGAATTGCACAAATTTTGTACTTCATACAGTGATGTTTTCCAGTCTACACAGTGATCTGTTTTCACTTAAAATGAGAAAGTTGCACAACGCGATCAGTGTGAGATGAAATTCAACCATTTATGAAATAGGAATTCATCGTATGCAAATTTTTACTTTCTGTATTGTTATGCAAAATACCATTTTTCTGGATAAATGCAATGTTTTCTTTTTCATCATCCAGCAAAATCCACAATCTCATTATAGCTCCTTACAAGAAAAAGAATTGCACAGAATTGTCAAACAGTAGTCAGAACATTATAGCAAATCATAAAACAGCAACTAATACAGCAAAGCATAAACCACAATAATAATATATACATATTATATTACAAAATTTCTTAAATAATATCACAGGATAACTTAGGATAGATTACACATAAGATTCCATATGATTTTTTACACCAAAATAAATAATGAACTGTATTTATTATGAAATATCACCAAATTATGAAAGTCAGCAATCAATTTTTTTAAAATTTTTTCTCCTGTTGTTTTATATTGTTGTCATATTATAATATTGTTTAATAAATAACAATCTTGTATTTTGTTACTATATAAATCAGTGACTATCTGTAATTATACTAAACATGATTTGAAGAAAAAGTTTATGTACTGAAGTAATGGAAATTTGTAATTGCCTATTCCTTGTAATGTGGTACCAACTTGAGCTTTATTATACTTTTGGTTAACTTTGGTGACATAGAAAATGAACCCCCTGTCATTTATTATTACAAAAAATTCAAGTTAAAAAAAAGTCAAGGTGTTAAAAATAAAACTAAAATTCTTAGTAATGTTGAATAAAAAATTCTGCTTATTTTAACTTATAAGCTTTGTTAAATCAGGTTATAATTATATGCCATCGAAAGTATATTATGGTAAAAGCATTTTATTCTTTAATGCATTTCATTTTAATTGTCTTAGGTATCTGGTCATATGGATTATGGAAACAAAATGGATACAATCTTAAAAGCTGTTGGTGTTCGTACTACAGACGAAATTATTGATGAATCAAGACTAAGAAAATCTCGTTCTGATTTACCTAAAGTTCGGCGAATGTCCAGTGCCAAGAGATTAAAGCTGAAATCAAAATCTGACAGTGACATCTTTTCTATACATAGCATTCCTTTGATTCCTGCCTCCTGTATGCAGAGGGATAGATCTCAATCACTAGATAGTGTTCTGAGTCAATCAAGTACCTCCGCATCTTTAAATCCTGAGGACTTCAAAACTTCAGATTTGAGATTATCACCATTGTTTTTTAATGCTCCAAAAACTGAGAAAAGCTTCAACCTTAAAGCAGAAATTTCTCAAGATACAAATATTCTTGTTCCTGATACATGGAACTGGAATGCATGGGAAAATGTAGAATGATTATGTTTAATGTTTTGAAATATATTTTGCAATGTTAAAATGTTCTAAAATATTTTAGTGTTAAATTAATATAGTTGTGTTAATCATAAATATAAAAATTTTTTGTTACTGATGTTATATACATATATACATAGTTCAAATGAATCAAACTTGTAAATTAAGAAAAATGTGTGTTTAATATTTACTATTAAAACTTTAGTTCTAAATAATTTTTATTACTTCCTAATTTTCTTATATTCATATCAAAACAACATTTTCCACTTTTTAGAAAATATTTTTGATGAATATTACAGAATTTTAAGGTGATTGTTATGAAATGTAATATTGAATAACTGAGATAAGGCAGTTTGATTTTTTAGTTTATTTATTTTAGTAACTGCCAGAATATTAAAGATCTACACATAAACTGAAGTAAAATATGAATATGTAACAGTATTTTCATGTCAGATCGTATCAGAATGAGAGTCTCTAAAATTGTCTTTCTCAATGTAATTACTAATGCAAGTTTTGCTGCTTTGCTAAGTGTGATTTTCATAATAAATACAGTTGATTATTTATTTTTGTTTAAAAAATCATGTGAAATTTTATGTGTAAACTATCCTAAGTTATTCTCTGATATAATTTAAGAAATTTTGTAATATAATATGTATATATTATTATTATGATTTATGCTTTGCTGTATTATTATTATAAGTTGTGATAGTACAACAAAAGTATCATTTATTAAATATTTGATTTAATGTCAACTTAATTGTAGTGTTATATCTCTTTTTATGTAATCCTGAAATTTAACTATTTTTTAACTGATGAACTTTCAAAGTTTATACACTCTTTTAAAAAGAGAATAGGAGAAAAAATAATTTCTGAAAATTTCATTATGAAACCAAATTTATAGTACAGATTCTAAATCTCATATGAGTAGTATTTATTTTTTTAATAAAGGGAGGAAATACTTAAAATTTGCAGGGAAAATCATCAGTCTCTTCATTATGTGATTTAACTGTTGATGATAACTATAATGAAGAATTTAAAAAATAAGTTCGATAAGGAGTTTCTCATAAACGTATAAAACTGCTCTTTATGCTTTAACATATAAAACTGCTCTTTATGCTAATATGAATCTGTTAAAAGAATTATCTTTAGTTTGTCCTTAATGACCTGTTTGTTTTAGGATTAAAGTTTTTAAATTAGGAAGTTAGCCCAAAATTTTATCCTAAATCTCACTTAATTGTAAACTACCATATTTATTTTAAAAGTTTGAAAATAGTTTTTGTTTTTTAAATTTTCATGAAAAATTTAAAATCTTTACTCTGTTTTATAGGTATGTTGTTAAAATAGATGATCTAAAATACATTAAAGACTTTTATATGATCTTCCCTCCTCCTTCTATTATACAAATTTTTGTGTTATTTGTTCAGTAGTAATATTCATTCTATAAATTGTAACTACTTTTGCTTTTTTTTGTTATACATAATTCTGTTTTCTAAATCACCAATTTATCATTCTACCCCCCAAAGGTGTTTAGTTAGTGAGTATCTACTTTTAGAATTAAAAAATTTTTAAAATGTATATTTTCTTATTGCTGTAAATTTAAAAATACATTTCCGTATTGCATTATGAAAGTGTAAAAAAATATCTGTATTTCATTAGTTCATTGCTAAGTAGTATTTAAAATTGTATGTCAAGGAGTAAATGCTAGTTTTATTATTATTATTATTATTATTATTGTTTTTTTTAGCAAAATATCATATATTTAGATGATAAATGTTACTCTGTTAAATCTGGCAGGGTTAAATGAAGGCTTTATTCTGCATTTACAGATGATAATTACATCACTTTGATATGTAAATAGGTTATAAAAAGTATTTGTGATCTCCTGATTTTAAAACATTATTAAATATAATACAGATTATTAAGAATATATGCATATTCATGTATATTTTACTGTATTGGATATTAGGTTTTAAATGAGCCTATTATTTTGATAAAAGAAAGTAAATGTAATATATTTTTATTCTAGGATGTTGCGTAATAAATACATTTATCAAGAAGTTGAATTTATATTTTATTATTTAAATAAATCTGCAAGATAAATTTAGTTTTGTTCACATAGAGAAATGCAGTAATATCTCAATTTTATGGTTAGAAGAAAATATGAATTTTTTAATATTTAGCAGAAGTTAGGCAGAAATACATTATATCAATAATTATTTTCAGACTAGCATAGGCAGAAATATTTAATATTGTGATCCAATATTTGTCATTATATATCATACAGTGTAAAGAATAAATATATAGCATTTTTATAACAGTGTTCAAGAAAATAGGGCAGAAATATACACAGGCATTGTTAGAAATAAGATAATGGTCTTTTGCAATTACATCTAAAAAATTGCATTAGAAGTTGGTTTCATTGCAATTATTGTTTTATATTTTGACATTGCAATATGATTCTTGCAACCTCTGTCTCTAAAAAAAGTAGCTATTGTATCACCATCTAGCCCTTGTTTAGCCATCTAATTTAATCTAAATTCTTAAATCTCAAATAAATGCTGGATATTGGAGGACGAGAAGCTTACACCTACTTACCTCTGGTAGACACCTAGTCCCCCCTCCTCTGTTGTTGGCTTCAGACATGTTATTGTGCTGCATTGTTTTCCTTATGGAAGGTTTAGTTTCTGTTAATATAAATATTGTTTCTATTATATTAAAAATGTACACCATTCTAATGTAATTTTTAAGATTTGACTATATTTCAGTAAATTGCAACATATTTATCTATTTTCAGAAGTGCTTGGGGATGTGATAGAAACCAGCTATCTAATGTAATTTTAATGGCATGATTATGTTTTAACAAATTATAATATGCTTTGTCCTGTTATTAGCAGTGCTTGTGCTATATTTGTTCAGTTCCTTCATAATAATGCCATGAAAACAGTCAGGTTCTTAATCTCCATCCTGTATATTTATAGGCTGTCTTCCACACATGACACAATCAAAACTGAAGTGCATTTTATATTCATATAAATGTGTATGCTTATAAGATTACCAAATTCCAGTTTTTATGTACGACACATTAAGAATGTTTTCCGTCATTTTTATTTTACTATATTTATTATGACAGCATATTAGAAGTTTTTCAAGAAAATTCCAAGTACAGGTAATCCTCAACTTATGATGAATGCAATTCCTATGGTCCCATTGTAAATCAAATCTGATGTAAGTTGGAATCTTACTTTACTCTCGATAGCTTTCATAATATTTTATAAAAGTAGGCTTTCTCTTAACATAAAATGGGCCTAGGAATATATAAACTGATGTAACACTTATAAACAATTTCTTTTCATGGCTATTCACTGCATACATAAATATTTGATAAAATTAAGACATATTCTTCTTTTATAACAGCTAACATGAACAAAAACATTTGTGATTTCTTCGACTAAAAACAAGAGATCAGTAATTGATACTCATATGGATGATTTATTGCAACCAGTAGTTTCTTAAATCAAAAAATTTTATTCTGTTAATTTTTTTTTTTTTTCCTTAAATTTCCATTTTCTGTCATATGGGTTGTGATAACATCCAACTGCATTTCAAATTTGTGTTTCAACTTTGGTGAAATTATTAGTACTTTGATTTATACTTTTCACTAACTGAAGTCCTTGATTTAATTTTTAAAATGCTTCAGATAATCCTTTTACAGTAAACTTTTGCCAGTAAAGATATTTTATGTCTGCACATTATTCTACTACTTAAGAAGCAAATAATGAAAAATAGACAAACATAGTCAAAGATAACATACTTTGTTTTCAGGCACAGTGACATTTTAACTGTCATATGACATTGCATGAACAGAAACAATGCTTATGTGCAATGCTGGTAGTAAATTTAAATCAGAGGACTTCAAGTTTCTGGCTATCATAAATGTGAGCTGTTGTAAGTCGAGGGCTACTTGTACTAATTTTTTTTTTTTTTTTTTTTTTTTTTAAATATTTGTATACACTTTTATTTAATTTATTGTGGGAACAATCTGAAATTCTTACCACTGTGAACTGATGTACCTTTGCTTACATATCAGTCTTCAGATAGTACTATTGAAGAATGACTTAGTGTATCATTCATTTTTGTATATATGCAGCTGATTAATATAGTATAATTCATCAGTGGATTCTTGAAAACAATAATTAAATTGAATTTAGATAAAATTAAGTGGCTATGTCATTATGCTTATTATGCCATCTTTTTATTTTTCTGTGCAGTATTTTATTTTCATTTGTTTATAAGTCAAAATCTTTATAGTAGTTTTTGTAGATAAATTTCACTGATTTTAGCAGTACTGCAGTATTTGACAATATTGTTTTATATAGCTCAGAGATAATTTAGCTAACTTTTCTATTGAAATGTTTCTTGCTTTGTATTCATAGCATAGATCATTCATAATGTAAATATTTTGCTTGTGTCAAAAATTATATAAGGATACTTTTTTTGTAGCAATAAATTATGATAAAATTATTTATTTCACATAAGTTGCATGTTGTTTAGTTACAACACTGTATTTTAAAGTAATGTCATTAAATGGAAGTATTTGAATGATCTCTTCATGTATATCTTTCATTAAATACCCCAAATATTTATAAAAATATATTTTATTATTTTATAAAAGCTATTGATGTATAGTTCATATTTTCTTAATTGCCAGTTACTGATAAATAATAAAACAAAGCAGTGTGTTTTCTGAAATATATTGTTATTAATTAATTAAATGTATATAATGCAAGTGATGTTTTGTGTCTGATTTTTGTACGAGATTGATAATGATGCACAATTTTTTCAAGTTCTTGGCAGCAAGTTAATTTAAATTCAGAAAATATGGATAACTTCTTTTTATTATCTTGTATACATTTAAAGGCCTTTTAAGCGACAAAGTATAATAATAATCTGTTATGTTAAATGAAATTCGTATAAAAATTATTATTATGAATTAATTTTAAAATTAATAATATTAGTTCCCATGTGCCTTACAATACCTTTCTGTTCAATTTTGTTATGTGTTAGAAATGAAGTGCTTTTGATGTCATTCAGCTTTATTTCATCTTCTATTTTATTGAGACTGAATAATAAACCATAATAAAAACAATACTTTATCAGAAAAGCACATCATACTTGTGTTTTTGAAGGGGTAAACCTCTTAGTGTTTGGTATTATTTTTTTAATTGTGCAAAATTTATTTTCCTTCATACTTTCTGCATATTTTAGTAAAATAATGACTTTCTCGGGTTATATCTGTGTGGGTTAAAAGCATTGCCAATTATACAATTTAATATGATAGGTCAAATTTTGCATAACTTGTATATTATTTTGAGATCAGTATTACTTTAGGGAGTCACAAACATAATGCATCACATACATATCACATAAATAAACAGCACAAAAATAGTTACGAAATGTCAGTGATTCTCTCTCCCATCTTGGTTTTAACCTAATTAGCATGTATTATGAGCAACACATTTTTTTAGAATTTTTTTCTTTAAGTTAAAAATTAGTTAGCTCTGTTTATCTCTTCATTAATGTCAAAATGAATAAAATTACTGCGACTTTAAAATATGTCTTTTGATAGCAATTGTTTTTAAAATTTTATCACTACATCTTGGTTTTAACTCTTTAATATGAGAAATATTTCTGAAAACTTAAATGTTGATAGTGCTATCATATTGATATAGGGTTTCTGTTTCAAAATTTTTTTACTCCCAGACAGATTTTTTTAGTTGAGAACTGTGTTTATATTTCCTTTTCACTAACCATTTACATTTCCTTGTTTTGACATTTGATTTTTACATTGGACTTTCTAAATAGTTTAATTACTATTCTTTGAAATTCACAATAATTTCTTTCAGTTTTAGTGGTTTTTTTTAAATAATCTTCAATTATAAATATGAACTATAAAAGCATTAAATTATGATAATGTTTTCATGACTTTATTTTGAATCTACTTTAATATAGCTTGAAAAAATTCTGTCTGGATGTTGATGGATTATAACCATCTTTAGGAAATTTGAGTAGGAAAATATTTTGTTATTCTTTTATGTTATTCAATAATTTACTCTAGCAAAAATTTGTTTTTCGTTGTCGCATTCTAATATTATTGGGATGTGATGTGGATTGTGGTCATATGCCAGCTGATTTTGCTGCAGAATTATCATTTCGTTTCTTCTGAAGCTCAAAATTTATACTGGTTCCATTACTTTGGTTAAAGTAATTTAAATTTTGTTTGTAGTTATTTTAATAGCAGCGTAAGCAGTTAAATATTAAGAAGGCATTCATGACGATTTTGTATTTAATACTCTGATTTTGATTATATTGTCTGTTACTTAAATCATATAATAACAAAACATGTTGTCATAAATTTGAAAAAAAGGATTGTAAATTGCATAAATTAAAAAAATGACATAGTTTTTTTTTTCATTGCATTGATTTAAAAAAATAATATGTCACTGAATCCTCCAAAGATCCCTGAATTCTAAAGTTCTTAGAATCCCCATGAGAGAAAAACTTTCCGGTTATAATTCCAAAGTGAATCTGCCCTTGATAAATAGACATTTTTTCTTTGTAGTCTTCAAATGAAATGACGTGATGTATTTTAAATTGCACATTAGAAGAGGGGGAGAAATCTTGTTGAATTGATACTTGTAGGGTTTTTAACAATACTTATTGTATTCTATAAGTAATTGTTAATAATTTATCTAGAGTTTAAGATATATTAAGAACAAGGTCAAAAATAGATGCATTTTCTTGCATAATAGCTCTGCAGTATTAGGATACTGGGACCATTACCTCGATTATGTCTTCCATATTCAGAATAAAATTAGATGTAAACATAACTTATAACTAAAAATATGTACAAATGCTACTTATAGAATAGTAATAAATTATACAGAAGTATAAAATGAGATTTCAGTGAAAGTAAATATTCGTTTTACTGATGGATTTTTAATCATGCAATATAATTTTATATGAGAAAAAATATCTATTTTGCTGTTGATTGAATATGAATGTTGTTGTGAAAGTTTTTAGACTTATTGAGTCATGTTTCAGTGATTATTATAAAAGCGAATTAACTAATATTGATTTTAATAATATATAAATATTTCTAAATGATTAAAATTCTTGCTGAGATATTTGTTATCTGGAGTGTTTTATTTTCTTTGATTTATAAGGGTTCTTTGTTTAAAAGTTAAAAAAATATTATGATTGAATAATATTTAGGCTCAATAAATCTTAAAACTGGTATATTATTTGTTGTAAATGAATGTTGTATGTGTGTCTCTCTCTCCCTATATATGTATAAACATGAAATGTAATATGAGATTAAGGACTTTGTGTAAAAACAATCCATTGAATTAGATTCTCGGATTCATTTGTATGTATATTATGCCATTCAAAATTTATTTATTCAATGTATGTCTGTTATTGAGGAAAGACTGAAAAAATAGTGATTGATAGGGCTTGCAAAATATTGTTAATAGTACCTGTTGAATAATTCAATGTATTTAAAAAATATATAATTGCAGATAGCCTGTCGGTTTCTCTTTAATGAAAATCGGAACATTATTATGAAATATATCTTTCTTTAGATTCAACATAAAAGTTTCAAGCTGAATCGTAATTGCAACTGTGTATTGTTTACAATTCTGTCACAAATGTGATAGCAAAATCTTTTATATACATTATGAATTGAAAAAAAAAATGCATTAATATTTTGCAAGAATATTTTAAAAGAATTAAATAATAATTTTTTAATATAAAAATGATAATTTTAGTTTTGAATGTCATTTCGAAAATAAAGGTTTGTGATAATAATCATTTAAATAATCAAAATATTTTCTAAGTGATTTTAAAAATTTTTGTATATTAAGTACATTTTTTGTTTATTGGATGGGGTGGGGTATAGAAGGATAATAAAAAACTGGAAATCATTGAATGTACCTAGTCCTTTTTTACTTTGTATTGCGCTAAAATTGTCAAAAAACATAGACTGCACATTTACATGGCCATGGTTTGCATCTATGTGTATGTAAAACCTAAATAACATGATGTATATGTACAGTAAAATAGAGAAGATTTAGGGAGGATTAGAAATTTAGAAAAATCTTAAGAATAGATCATTGAAAAACAAGAAGTACCTGCTTTGTAATATTTTTACTTATTCAACTCTTGTTATTTATCCAATAAATTAAATTGTGATGTACTTTAGGGTTAGTATAAGTTTTATTTAAAAAAATAGTATTAATTTTTATATATGTGATTTTTTAATTTTTACCTTTTTTGTGATTTTTATATGCATTTTAATATTTATGTCTAGTTTTTAATAAGTTTTCTTCAACTTTGATGCTGTGTGTGAATTTAAACTACTGTATTGATTAGTTGTCAAAAATATTCATCCTTCTATTTTATCATTTGCAAATTTATTATGTTCTAATTTATCATCTGCATCTAGCAATAAAAATAGTTAAGTGCATAGGCTGTTGATGTTAACTTCTGAGATAAATGAAACACTATATCAGATTTAGTCAGCGGAATTTTTAATATTTAGTTATATGATAGATAAATAACATGCAGTTATATTATAGATATATAATATTCAGTTATATCGTAGATAAATATTTAAAAGTTATATATATAAGTATTTATTTATTTTAATTTCAGATTAACAATGATATATGTATGCAGGCAAATTTCTGTTGCTATGAAATTCCGCCAGTAATTCAAAATTAGAAGGAAAATTATTTAAATGAAAACTGCATATAGCTGCAGGTATGCTAAAAATAATTCAAAAATTAGTTGATTTTTCTATTTTTCTCAGTTTTCATGAAAATTTTAAAATTTATCTGTTAAATTATGCCAGATATAATTTGGTAAAAATAATTGGCTAATTTAAAGAAGTGAGCATACTAAATATTAAAATAAGTTAAAATTCAAAACTCACCTGAGTAGTGATTAGTGTGAATAAATGTTATTTAGATTGAAGTGGATATAATTAAATTTTATATTTCGGTATTTTTTGAATGAAATAGGCAAAATCTATTTGATAAGTATATGTCTGATATAATTTGGTAAAAATAGTGAGATAGTATAAAAAGAAGAATCAATTAAATATTGAACCAAATAGAAATTCAAAACTCTATTGAGTATTCATTAATGGGAAAAAAAATGTTATTTAGATTGAGCTATTATAAAATTGAAAGTGCCATGAAAAATTCAATCTTCTGTTTTGAAGGAATTTAAATACATGCAAAAGTTGTGAATTGAAACAAACTTAATTGTTGATTGGTTGATTTTGCGAATGAAACAGTTGCTAACAGGTTGTTTCGAGTTAAATTTAGAGTGTTATAAGCTACCTTAAATGCTGTTGCATTTCAGCTTTATAAAGTTAAAAAAAACCTTTACAGTAGTAAAAATATTTGAAAGTAATAATGATAAATTGGTAATTCAAAAATTGCTTCGGGTGTGATGACATGCCTTTTTAGCTTCGTTTTAAAGAACTAATAACGTAAAATTAATAGATTTATTAAAAGAAAAGAAAAATGTAAGTGTTAATAAGTGTGCTTTTATGAAGTATGCTTTGATATTATGAAGCCAGATGAAGGAAAACTGACAGCAGATATTGGACAAAATTCAATTATTTTATTGGAACTTTTGTTGTAGAAAACACACTGGTATGCTCACTATTTTTTAAAAAATAATTAATGATTAGAGACCCCTTAGTTCGTGAGGACCCTTATGGTTGGGATATGTGCAAGCCCAATAAGTCTACCTTTGACAGTAATTTTCTCATAATAATTATCGTAAAATAATATTACGGTTTATTAACAAAGTAGGTGTCTGTGCACTTTTGTTTAATTTGTATTCTAAGTAACTGCTGTTTTGGTGAAGTTTAGGGTAGGTTTATATTGTATATTATTAGAGAATTTATTTTTAATACTTTTTACACTATTTTCAAATGTCTTGAATATAAATTCTAATTAACAGAATTATACAATTATTTTTTAATGTAATTCTAGAGCTAACTTTTCAAATATATATATATATATTACATTTGGTTGAATATAAGGCAGCTCTTATTTTTGAATGTGTTTCACAAGATATATAAGAAAAGCTTCACATCTGTAAGCTTAATATACTGAGAAGTCATGCATTTAATATATTGAGTCTAACTAGGAAGTCTCTGATATGAATGTTAAGGAATAAGTTATTTTTTAAATAAGACTATGCCTGTGAGATAGGGATATTTAGGGATATTTCCCGAAGCGTTTTTTTAAGGAAATAAACATCATTTATATATTCGGATCAATTCAGTAATTTACTTTTTTTACCTTTCAGTATTTAGTTTTTATATTCTGTAGTGTTTTTTAATTTTAATTTTGAAGTATTAATTCTTATTTGACTTAAATGTATAATAAAAAATAATGCTGCATTGTACTAGGTACTTAAAGGGCTGGCCAACTTGCCTTAAGAGTGTGAGCTATATTTTTCTGTGGTTGAACAAGGCCTGATTACCGCCTGGTCCCAGGTTAAGGGGCCTGAAAATGTTCGTTCCTCATAATAATATATTTCTTTCACAAATATCAAGGAAAGTGAGTATTGAATTCGTCTGAAAAAGCTCCGAGCTCAGGACCCCAGGGTGTCTTATATGATTGATGATATCGATTTGCTACATACAGGTTTCCAACGAAAATATTTTAAAAATAAATAAATAAATAAATCTGAAAAGTTTCAGATTTTAAATTAAGTCCAAAGGGGCCTTTTTTCAAAAACAAATTTATGTGTTACCTTTATATATTAACTATCATGTTCTTTGCACTTAAACCATAAAATTCAGTTCAACTACATGGTTACAAAATAATTTTAAAATAAGCATATCTTTAGAATTTCGGATATACAGTCTCGTGCGCTGGAGATAAAAATGTTTTTCTGTACAACGTTGCCATTGCTCGCTTTGAAATCCTTGAGTTTGTTAATAAAAAATTCGTTAAAGTTTTGCAAAATATGAAATCGGTAATAAAACAAATTTCAACTTAGGGCTTTCAGTGCCCATATTCGCAAGAGGATTAAATTTGAGGGCTCTAGGTACTGTTGTTTTATCACAATGCGAGAAACATACATACATTTATGCAGATTCTTCATTATTTATTTATTTAAATATAATACAGGAGGATAATATTTGGTGGCAACAGTTTGGAAACTGAATCAACGCAAAATGCGAAATCGAAATCAATAGTCCTGGGCAAATTTCCTCTTTGGACTAATAATTTTATAATATGGGCGGATAATTTGCGATCGATGGTTTGCCAGCCTTGAACTAGATAATGTAATATTGATGCCTAATTTAGAATGAGTACTAATGAATATTTATTTTAAAATAGTCAATTTGCTACCAGTGTTCACTCTAACCTGAGCATGTATGTAACCTCACACTGATTTTTGTGAAGTTGCATTGGTGCTTTTGTTTTCTATGTACATAGTACTCATCAACATACAAAGCATTCATGGTGAACAGATTAAGGTCCATTTAAGCTATAAGAAAATGAGAGGAACATTGGTTGCTACTTATGAAGTTAAAAAATTTATACAAATTAGATAAAATGCGTTAATGTCATAGAGCAACAAATGCTAGTTGATATTACAAATTCTCTAGTTATGGCGAGTATTATAGGTCTATAGTATGTTTAAATAGTATATAAATTGATGATACATATGTTGTTTAAAGATTTAGGTAATATAAGTGATATCTAACTGAGATAAAAAAATGGATGCAATCGGCGGGGAAATATAAATATTAATAGGAAAAATTATTTTGTTTAAAAATTGTGTAGTCGCAGTTGAGTGACAGAATTGTTAGAATTATGTGCTGATTTGATTAGAAATGTTAAATTTTGATTTATGAAATTTTATGTTGCTGTTCGGCATGTGTATTTTTTCAAGTATATATTTAAGCTGTTTTAATTATTATTTGATTTTCCTAGGAATGTATCTTTATTGTTTGTTACTGATATGTAAAATTCAATTCGGTTTATTTTTAAGAGAAAAAGATTTGTTAATTTTAGTATTCAAAAAGGTTGTTTTATCAGACAATCACAGAAGTCAGCTGTTTTAAATATTTTTCATATCAAATCTTGTTATTTGAAGGAAACAGTTGTTTTCTGTCTTGTAAAATATAAATTATTTGAAAAAATGTTAAGGAAAAAAAAAAAAAAAAAAAAAAAACATGCATGAAATAAAATTATTTTATTTTGAAGTATTTGTCATATTGTTCATTGAAGAAGACTATTGTGGTCCCTATATTTTGAAATGTACGTACTGGTGTATGCTAAAAGTATACTTTACAGAGATGAGTAGGTAATATGTTAGTGAAGAATTATATATCCGGATATATAGAAGTGGCCACTTCTATATTTAGAAGGATTGTTTATGGCGAAATTGTCCTAAATTTTTTTGGATTTGAAAGTTTGGTGGAAATTTTTATTTTCATCATTCTTCTATACATTTTGACCAATTTATTGATATCTCTTTATATAGAAGTGGCACTCACGATAGCAAGCTTTTATATAATAGATATATATATATGTTCACTTTACTTAACCTGTTCCGCCAAACTAAGTTAATGGCACTACAGGGTTAGGAAGTCATCCTAGTCTTTGCTAGCAATCTGACGGTTAGGCCGCCTTTCTACATTTTACATTAATCTGTAGTTTCTTGGATATAATTATTTTCATTCACTTGCTTCATTATCTCTAAGATGCCCTTGTTGCAGTAATAGTCCGTGAACAGTCTATTCACAGAATATGTGATGTAGTCGGAAGGAAAGAACTGCTGTCGAAGGTGCTCTGCCAGAGGGCAGGAGAGCAGGTAATGAAGTGAGTCCGCGTCTTCCCCGCGAAAACTGCAAGAACAGTTGACGTCCCGTCTAAGGAATCGT